AACAAATGAACCAAATACCATAAATTGAGAGAGAAGAACTTTGTTGCATCATAGATACACAAAATGCTCATTTCAACAATAGTGAGTTATTACACAAACACACCACTCAAGTTGGTTAAAAAGAAGCAACATAAATTATATAACATTACAGGTCAAATCCAACTCCAAATAAATCAGATATAGTTATAATTAGTCACAGAGTATACATTTAATATTAGCAAAATAACATGTTTTATATGTTTATGTTTAAATTTACTGCTTTTTGAATATAGTAATGCCAATATATGAATGTTCATTTTCTCATTGTAAAAAAATAATGATTATAATTTGATATTTGAAGAATTTGTGAATATGAATATATGAACATTTTATTTTTCCATGACAATTTTTTTTCCATGATTGAAAATCTATATAAAAATACCAAATAATAGAAAAGTGCATTGACAAAGTCTATAATCGAAAATGAACAAACCATTAAAAGAAGAAAATGTGATTTCTTCATGCTGGATGTGGATGGTGTGATCAACTTCGATATGTTGATGTAAGCCATTGTATCTGGAAAATAACCTTTGACAATTGTCAAGGGGGCACAAGATCCTAGATTTCCTTTGAGTACCTATTAAAACATAACATTATTACTGTTTGCTGCATCATTGTTTAATAACATGTTTGGTACACATACCTGAAATATATTTTATCTGCTGTTGAACACTGGTGCAAGAAGTGGATTGTGTGGCAATGGAGTTGATGATGGTGGTAGAAGTTGATGGTGTAGGTGAAATTGAGGCAGCATAGGAATGAAGGGCGACTGATGTTCTAGGGTTGATGCGGAAATTATTGAAGTAGGTGTTGTAGGTGATATGATCGGAATGAACTGTTTGAATATGTGAGGAAGAATTTGATGAATGAGTGTCAGTGGCTAGAACAGAATTGGGAGCAGATGGTTGAAGAGGAATGTAGGATGAAAGTGTATAATATGTCTTTTCAAAGCATATGTCGAATGCAAAGCCTTACTGCAATAAATGCACTGAAATGTTCGATCGAAATGCATGGGTTCTTTCCCATGCTTGGCCCTAATATGGCGATATAAAGTACTGTTTGTTTTACATACTGTAGAACAGTACAAACAGGTTTTAGTAGTCGTAATATCCATAAGAAATAAAATAAAAATGTAGATTATATAAACATAATAGAGTAATAAAACGTAAGTGCTAAACCTTAAAATAGTAAATAAGCAAAGCTATATACCCTAAACAATGAATGAAATTAAAAGAATAACCTAACCTAAGTGGTAATCAGTAAAAAATGAAAAAAAGGAAGCTTATAACTAAAGTGATATACCCTAAAATGATAAAGTAAAGTGAATAACCTAAGTGATAGCATAAAGTAAATAATCTAAGTGCTAACCTAAAGTGATTAAAGTAAAGTAAAGAATGTAAGTGATTAAAGTAAAGTTAAGAACTACGATAATAGTATAGTTAAGAATGTAAGCGATTTAAGTAAAGTTAGAATGTAAGCGATTAAGTAAACTTAATCTAATAATCTAAGTGATGAAACTAAAGTTAAGAATCTAAGTGAATAAAGTAAATTAATCAATAAAAGTGATAGGGGCTGAAAATAGAATGAAACTAAAAGCTAATGAGGTGAAAAAACTCGCGTCTCTTGCTGAAAAGAAACTAACCTTATTCCCTATAGAAGCTCTAGAATCCCGCAATAAAATAACAAATATAAAATGTAAAGAAATAAAATAGCGCACAATCAACAAAAGCACAAAATGATTAGTACACGTAGCAAAAAAACGTAATGAAAGAAAACGCAAATAAAAAATATAAAATACGAGACGACCGAGTTACACAATAAGCACGCCGAAAAAAAAATTATAGTAATGGAGTAATCGTAACAGCGAATCCAACATAAAAAAGTTGAAAGCACAGTGCAAAAGATTTGACAAATCTGTAATGTGTTACAGCTAACTTCAGCCAGCTTTCTCAGCACTTTGTTATCCGGTGTTTAGAAACTCTAACGTCAACACACGTATCAATTTACCGACGCCGACCGACCTGAACTTCGTCCGCTTCTTATAGCCAACCGAACAGTCACACCGAACACATCACCGAAAGAAAAATTCCTACCGACTCTCCATGTCACGTGATCCGCGTATTTAGAGTAAATCCAAAAGGACGGGCATAATGAGTGCTCCGCAGCCTCTGAAGCGAGGAATCGTAAAACAGGTGAGTCCTAAAAATCATTAATTAGAAATTATAAAAGACTTTTATACTATTGTTATGGCGTGAAGGGTTTTAGTGCGAGTTGTGTATTGTATGAGAAAAGTTGGAAAATGTTGTGCCTGGTTGGCACATTCGCCATGGGAATCGGACGGCATGGGTGGTGAGTTTACAAACGCGCATATGTTGATAGTAATTGATGGATAATGGATTTATAGAAGTGGTGAGGTGGTTTTGGATGTATTTTATAAGTTTTGTGGGGTTTTTGGGTGCTTGCGAGAAGTTTCGGAGGATTTAGTTTTTTTGGTTAGGATTTTCAATGCACATATTTTTTGTGTAAGGAAGGTTAGGTGTATTTGTTTTAATGGCTAATTGTAGTCGAGTGCTTATTGTACGCGTTTGGTAAGTTTTTTTGAGTTTATATGTACATAATTTGTGAAACATATGCATAGTTTTAGGTTCAAGTATTTCCATAGAAGACATTTGTTCTTTCACCTGTTTTGGTTTTGTAAAATGCACGAAAGTCTTGCTGATTTTATTCATACAAAATCAATATATATGTATCTGTAAGATCTTTCTAGAAATCACAATAAGTGTCTCTCAATAAGTTTTCTCGTAAGCAACTTCAACAATTCCTTTAAAATGTAGGAATAAATAAAACCCCGGGACAAGATTTACATTGTACATCATATACTCGATATATAAGCAAATAATCTGTTTCAAATTATTGTGTAAAACTTGACATGAGAAGTTATTTTCAGTGCATTTTTTATGTTTATTATTGACATACTTATTGTTTCTTTTCTCCTTCACGATAAGTATCTCTCAATAAGTTTTCTCAGTGTATTTTTACATATTCAGACACAAACTGTATAACTATGATCTTCTAAACAACTTAAATACTTCCTTTAAAGTGTAAGATAATAATAAATAAAACCCTGGGACAAGATTTTCATTATGCATTACTCGATATATAACTCAATTATCATTTACAAATTATTGCGTGAAACTTAATATGAGAAGTTATTTTTGACATACTTATTGTTTCTTTTCTTTTTCACGATAAGTATCTCTCAATAAATTTTCTCAGTGCATTTTTACATATAATATAAACACAAACTGCATAAGTACGATAGCGTAAGCAACTTCCTTGGACAAGATTTTCAATGTACATCATATACTTGATATATAAGCCAATAATCTGTTACTTGTTTTAATGATAAAATATAGTCAAGTGCTTATTGTACACGTTTGGTAAGTTTCCTTGAGTTTATCTGTACATAATTTGTGAAACATATGCATAGTTTTAGGTTCAAGTATTTCCATAGAAGACATTTGTTCTTTCACCTGTTCTTTACTTTTATGTTATAGTTTTGTAAAATGCACAAAAGTCTTGCTGATTTTATTTATACACACTCGTTATATATCTGTAAGATCTTACTTAAAATCACAATAAGTGTTCTGTTCTCTCAGTGCATTTTTTTCATATTCAGCCACAAACTGCATAAGTATGATTATCTAAATAACTTAAACACTTTCTCTAAAGTGTAGGATAAGAATAAATGAAACCCTGGGACAAAATTTTTATTATGCATTATTCGATATATAACTCAATAATCTTTTACAAATTGTGCGAGAAGTTTCGGAGGATTTAGTTTTTTTGGTTAGGATTTTCAAAGCACATATTTTTTGTGTAAGGAAGGTTAGGTGTTCTTGTTTTAATTATAAAATATAGTCGAGTGCGCATTGTACACGTTTGGTAAGTTTTCTTGAGTTTATCTGTACATAATTTGTGAAACATATGCATAGTTTTAGGTTCAAGTATTTCCATAGAAGACATTTGGTCTTTCACCTGTTCTTTACTTTTATGTTTTAGTTTTGTAAAATGCACAAAAGTCTTTCTGATTTTATTCTTACACAATCGATATATATGTAACTATGATCTTCTAAACAACTTCAACACTTCCTTTAAAATGTAGGACAAGAATAAATAAATTTATTCATATTTTTTGTGTAAGGAAGGTTAGGTGTACTTGTTTTAATGGCTAATTGTAGTCCAGTGCGCGTTGTACACGTTTGGTAAGTTTTCTTTAGTTTATCTGTACATAATTTGTGAAACATATGCATAGCTTTAGGTTCAAATATTTCCATAGAAGACATTTGGTCTTTCACCTGTTCTTTACTTTTATGTCTTAGTTTTGTAAAATGCACTATATATATATCTGTAAGATCTTTCCAGGAATCACGATAAGTGTCTCTCAATAAGTTTTCTCAGTGCATTTTTACATATACAAATACAAACTGCATAAGTAAGATAGCGTAAGCAACTTTAACACTTTCTTTATCTGATAATTTTGATATATATATATATATATATATATATATATATTTTATTAGCCTCGCTTACTCGAGCATTAAGCCACCTACAGCATATTTAATTTCATTACAATACTTCAATTTCAATACAATCTTCATGTTCATACTATTTTTCTTACATAAATACTATTCTTCTTCTTATTTTCTATATTCTATCCTATTCTATGTATTCAACATAACTTCATTCTTCTTTTTTTTTTCTATCATTATAATTTATATCTTCTTACGTCTTGATTACTTCTATTCTTACTTTCATTACTTCATTTATTACTTCTATTCAATTTAATTTTTATTCTCAAACCTTCTAAACTTTAAAGTGTAGAATAGTAATAAATAAAACTCCGGGACAAGATTTTCATTGTACATCATATACTTGATATATAACTCAATAATCTGTTACTTGTTTCAATGATAAAATATAGTATAGAGTGCTTATTGTACACGTTTAGTAAGTTTTCTTGAGTTTATCTGTACATAATTTGTGAAACACATGCATAGTTTTTTTTTTTTATAAGTTCATGTATTTTCATATTAATGTTAGTTTTGTAAAATGCACAAAAGTCTTGCTGATTTTATTCATACACAATCGATATATATGTATCTATAAGATCTTTCCAGGAATCACGATAAATGTCCCACAAAGTTTTTTTTACTGCATATTTACATATTCAGACACAAACTACATAACTATGATCCTCTAAACAACTTAAATACTTCCTTTAATAGTTATATATTTTATAGTTTAATAGTTAATATACTTTATATAGTAATACACATAATAATATATAATATAATGTATTAAAAAAATTAGAAATATATTATATCAATCAAGGGTTTAGCATGTTTACGGAAAGAATGGAAAGTCAAACAACTTTCTTCAAATAGCAAAGGTGCTAGTTATTTACATTCAATAATATTATATAAAACTTTTATATAATATTATTAAATGTAAATAATTAACAACTTTGCTATTATAAAAAGCATAAAAGCAAAAAATTCAATGGTACTTCATGTAAAAGAGAGTAAACTGTATAAAATTATCAATTACTGGATTGGTAGGTGATTTATTTTTATTTTTCTGAGATTAGGAACTTGTGTTTACTTCATTTGAAGTTATATGTTATTGCAAAATGACAAATATGAGAAATTCACAAACATTTAATAGAATCTTATTTATAGAAAATTTTTTGATTGTAACAGGTGATGCAAAAGATTCATTACAATTTAATATGAAACTATTTTCAAAAGTCCTAATAAAAATGTAGAAATATAAAATTTAACCTTAAAATTTTGAAATTGTAAAAATAATTGGAAGAATTGAAATTTATAAAGTTACACCCTGGGGCACAAGATTTTCATTGTACATCATATACTCGATATATAACTCAATAATCTGTTACAAATTATTGAGTGAAATTTGAAATAAGAAGTTATTTTCAGTGCATTTATTATGTTTATTATTGACTTACTTATTATGTTTTTTTTCTCCTTCATTCACACTCGATATATATCTGTAAGATCTTTCCAGGAATCACGATAAGTGTCTCTCAATAAGTTTTTTCAGTGCATTTTTACATATTCAGCCACAAACTGCATAAGTACGATAGCTTAAATAACTTTCTCCAAAGTGTAGAATGAGAATAATTAAAACTCTTGGGCAAGACTTTTATTGTACATCAGTATATAACACTATTAAAAGTCTTTGAGAATTTACATTTAATTTGTTTTATTCGTTATCCATTCATTTATTATGTTTCTTTTCTCTAGGTCCTGTCCGGGGACACAGTAATAATCAGGGGTCAACCAAAAGGAGGACCGCCACCAGAGAAGTCATTGAGCTTCTCGTCAGTGACTGCTCCAAAACTCGCTAGGAGAGCAACTGCAAAGTGAGTAGATATATATTTACATATACACACTTTTTTATAGATACATATAACTTAGTATGTATTTGTAAATAAGTATTGTATTGTGCCAACATCTTTGTTCTGCCAGAGTTCAAAATTTTTATTTGCCATATGCTTAAATAGGTCAAATACATAGAAATGATTTTTTGGGAAACCTTTTTTTTTTAATCTTGGTTGATATTGTTATCAATTGATTGATATTTTTAATGAGACACTGTTTGTTATAAATTTAACATACACAAGTTAAAGTTAAGAGATTCAGGAAAATTGGTTTGTCTGGGAAAATTGTTAGTCTTGATTTTTTTTGCCGTAGTTAATTTCATTGGCTACTTATCTTACGAACAATCATGTATTAACAAATATAAATTACATATTTAATACAAACTCACTGAATATATACAATCTAACACACAAACAATGCTACAAACAATCTGGGAGTATCTAAACTAATTCAAATAAATTGTTAATACTGAAATCACAGAAACAAAATTATTGCTCTTAATTCTGTTTTTTTCTATAATAAATATCTAGAAGTGTGAATTATAAGTACTTAACAAAACCTTAATAAAGCTAAATGCCCATTTATAAAGTACTGGCTTTTTCTTTTCTATTTTAATTTACATTTGCACTTTCTTAACAATGGATTCAGGAACACATCTTGAATGGATAAACTCTTAGTGTTCAAAATTTGTTTTGAAATTAGTGGTGTATGGTAACTTCCCTTATCCAAAATTAATTTTTTAAACAAAAGCATAAAATTTTGAAAAAAATACATTTTTGAGAATTTCGAGTTTATTAAAAGAAATAGACTTCTGAACATTTTTAAGTTTTTTAAAGCAATTGTTATGGAACTCATGGGAATGTAAACAAAGATTGTACTTATACATAAACAAGTATAAATACATGGCAATACTTCGGCTTTGAAGTTACATCAATTTTAATTCTTTCATCATATCATAGAGGTCGCCACCAACCGTAGCACATACATTTACCCTTAGAGGTTTAATTCTAGGATAAGATTTATACAAATATATAATATACGCGTGTAGAAATATATAATACGCGTGTAGAAATATATACAAAAATTTTTTTTTTGTGTACTATATTAAGAGAAATTATCTTTTAAAAAACAAACGCTGAATTTGGAGCATACTAGCACCATCTATGATATGCTGAAAACTTGTACAGAGTAAAGTGGATTTGTTTTAAGTTTACCCCCCAACAAACAAAGCTTATACTTATTGTTAATATATATTGTTTATAAAATATCTGCTAATTTGATGGGCATATGTCTAATGTTCATTTTTGACCGCCAAATGGCATTTTTTTTATACTTTTTTCATTAGATCTCCGCATCCGCTAGACCTGTCTTGCCAGAAATGTAATCAGTTTTTCATTTCGCCAATACAAATAATGCGTTTTTTTGAATCATTCAAATCAGCATGGTACATCAATTTTTTCTAAGGTATGACAAAATGTTCAGGAACCTTTGAAACAATTTAGAAAGAATATATAACTAGAGAAATACATATTATATATAGACCTTTATTAATTTAAGAATTTGGATTTATTTTTTTATATACAATTGGAGGAAGTATTTTAGCTAATTTTTCTTTCAATATTATTTAATGTGATACTTAATAACTTCCCGTAGGGTAAGTTATTGTAATGGGCCGAAAATCGAAATTGAAAATTTTTACATTTCTCGACGTTTTGAAGGTTTCTGAACATTTTTAAGGGGCATACCACAGAAAAAAAGGATGTGTGTGTGTTAGTGTATGTATGGATACAATTTTTCATCCACGTTTTCGGGCGCACGGATCAATCGATTTGAATGATTTGAAAAACATTCGATTTTTATTGATAGGGAGATGTGCTGATTAGTTTTTGGTAAAGGCAGGTCCAGCCGATTAGGAGATACGGAGCAAAGAGTACAGAAAATAGGAATCGAGTTTTTGAGAGATCAGAGCGTCCGATTTGAATGATCCCAAAAACATTCAATTTGTAATGACGGGGAGAAGGGGTGATTAGTTTTTGGCAAAGGCAGGTCCAGCGGTTTCGGAGATACAGAGCTAAATGTGCAAAAAATTCTAGTTTTTGAGAGAACTAAGCGTCCGATTTGAATGATTCCAAAAACTTTCTGCTTGTTATAAAAAAAAAAATTGATTTTGGAAAAAAAAATTTGCTTCAAAAAAATTTTTTTCCTAAGAATTTTTTTTTGTATATCGAAAATAATTCAGATTTTTATTTTAATTCTGTTTTAATATACTTTAAACAAATAATTTTAACTTTCCAATTTAGTTTATATAATTCTTATAAATATAGTCAATGTTACAATATTTATAATAATCTATCTTAAAATATTTAATATTTCTCGATCATTTCATTACGGTACGGGAAGTTCTAGCAATTTGCCTTAAGGCACGATGCCATACACCCCACTAGTTTTACATTTTCATTGTGAATTATATATACTTCATAAAATGATGTATATCTAGTTTTTCATTATTACATCGAAATCTTTATCAGAATTGGTATTGCTCTATTAAAGGGGCGACTTTTAATTTTTTAATTTTTAATTTAACGTGACGTATTCATATTTTTATTAAGTATTTTAATATTTTATGAATGTTATAGTTACGTTTTTTAAATTTACGGAAAAATAGTAATATTTGATTTTTTTCTGAAAAACTAAGTAAAAATAAATACAAGTGAAATCTAACTAGACCACTCCTTCCCCAAGGTGATTTTTTTTGTCAAACCTTCCCTTAACCCTAAAAGCCTGACGTGATTAATGAACGCCCCCAAGTCAATATTTATGATCATTTTTAATTTACTTAGATACTTACTATATTCATCTTTGGACTAAAATTTAAAAAAATACATCTGTTTTATTTTCCATTCTCAAAAAAGGAATCGTCATTTTCTTATAATGGAAACTATATATACATTTACATTAAAAAATATTGAGGTAACACTTACCATGCATATCCAAGCCTAATTAAAAATGTATGAAAAAGCGTTGTGTTAGGTGCGGACGACATGGGAAGCACACGAAAAAAATCTATTTATCGAACTTATTTTTAATATTAGTCTATTTTATCAATACAATTAGTAGCTGTATCAATATTACTTGTAAATTTCCACATCTCACAGGCAGTATTGAATTGTTTTACATAAATTGCAATACGTTCATGAATGTGGTACATTAAAACTATCCATTTCGATTTGAGACTCGTATTTTTGTATATACTTTGTCTCAGTGTACTAATGGAACAAAATATTAATTGAAATAATAAATGCATTGTTTGAAAATATTTATTAATTAGAGAGAGAGCAAAGGCCTTTGTTTCATTAATTAAACATTTCTGTTGTTAAAGAAGACTTTATTATTTCCAAACAAATTCTCAGGCATTTATTTTGAAATTCTCAATATTTGAATATTCGTTTTAGTCATAAAAATGCAGATATCCTGTTTCAATATTATTCTCATCAATACCTTTGGATAAAAAATAATTATGTCGCCATTTAACGGTGTGCTTTTACAAATAACCAAGATCTGGTAGGGAGACTTTTGAGCTTTTAATTTTATTCTTTATTATGTAAAATATAGTTGTTAATAATACATGGCTAAGACGACATCGACGTTTCATTTGAGTTTATTATGCAGCCTTATATAACTTTATTATTGTAATTAGGTAGGTATGAGTCCAATCAAGGCTACTTATTAAAAATTATATTACACCTAAGAAGAGCTTTTTTCTTCCAAAAGTAATTTAGAACTTTCATTTCATTTGTTGTATTTTTTTTTCATTTATTTACATACTTTAATAATTAATTTTTAACTTCCCGAAGGAGAAGTTTATGTTTTCATCAAAAAATCCGATTCGCTAATTGTATGTTTTCTCGACGTTTCAAGTCATTCTGAATCGAATGAGACCAAATTTGGAAAAAGTATGTGTGTGACAATAGATTTTTTGCCGTAAATCGACGTTTTCTCCAAAAACGGCTGGACCGATTTCAAAAATTTAAGCCATTCGATGTATCTCGATGAGGACTATCGTTTCTGAGTTTTGTGCGGCGATCGGCCAGGCCGTTTCTTTGTAAATTGCAGAAAAGTGAAAAATTCAAAAATTCAAAATTCAGAAAGATTTTGAAAATTCAAAAACCATTCGATAGATATTGGTTGGGAATCGTGCTGATTAGTTTTTTGGTAACGATCGGCCGGGCTGTTTTCTTGTAATAAAGTTTTTTAAAAAAAAATCGACGATTTTTATGATTTTCTTTTTGACGGTAGATACCATAGTTTTCTAGGTCACACTAAAATATTACGGCCCTACGACAACTCGTTTAGCTTTAAAAATTCGTCAAAGTTTGCAAAAATTGGTATCGTTTTTTGACATTTGTCAAAATTAGTCCTTTGATCGACGTTTTCTCAAAAACGCCTGAACCGATTTCAGAAATTTAAAAGCCATCTGGATGTATTTCGGTGAGGACTATCGTTTGTCAGTTTTGTGCGACGATCTGCCAAGCCGTTTCTTTGTAATTTGAAAAAAAGTGTTAGACTTTTCGTCCACATTTAAGCTCATCCTACCGAACCGATTTAAAAAAATCAAAAACTGTTCGAAAGATATTAGTTGGGAATGGTGCTGATTAGTTTTAGGTGAAAATCTACCGAGCCGTTTCCTTGTAATTAACTGTTGAAAAAAAAATTTAAGCCGATTTTCATGGTACTTTTTTGGGCGATATATATCATGGTCTTAAAGAACTTACTGAAATATTACGGCCTTACGACAAATAGTTTGATTTTAAAAATTCATCAAAGTTTGAGAAAATGAGTAGATCTTTTGACATTTGTTGTATATGGTATAATGACAGAGTACTTGGTCTTGAACATAATAAACCATTAAAGTTCTGGAAACTCGTTCAATTATAAAAATTATTGATTTTTGAAAATTTGCTTTTAGAAAATACTCCGATTCAAAGTGTTCGTTCGTTTTCAATAATGTGTAATGAATCCACTCGGAATTCTTTTAATCACTTATAAATTAATTTATTTTTTATTGATTAAGTCGATTATTTAAACATATCGGGATGTTCATGTAACTTGCCTCAAGGCTAAATACCAAACCAACTAGTTTTTTTTTAATTTCAGTGCCGAAGAAACCCGCGACGAACCATGGGCCTGGGAGGCTCGCGAGTTTCTGAGGAAAAAACTGGTTGGCGAAGAGGTCTGGTTCACAGCTGAGAAACCTCAAAATGCCAACCGGGAATACGGATGCGTATTTCTTGGAAAAGGTAATAAACTACACAAACTTTTTATACTAAATAAGATTCTTTTATCATTTGCATCTTATAAAAGCTTCCTCACTAATACAGTGTGCGAGGAATTTGTTGACTAAAGGTGCTAGAACAATTTAGTGGATATCCAATGTGATTGTACTATTTGTATTTTCACTATTTCACCCCACTTACAAATAATGAAATAAACTTACATATACATTTTGGTTAGATGTACATTTTTTTTAGAGTGCTCATCATTATACTAGTTTTACTTCTAGCTTTAGTTTCAGTCAGTAGAGTCTGTGTATTTTTGTTTCCAATTGCTAGATGGAGCTCCTTTCTTTTTTTTAAAAAATTTCAGTTTGTTCAAAGAATTCTGTTTACATCTATTTTAGTTTGCTTGTCAGTAGAGTTTAGTGTCATTTGTTTCATTTCACTCATATATTAGTTTTGTCTTATACATCTGTAATTTTTTATCTTTTAATTTTAGTTTGACTGTCAGTAATGCTTTTTTTGGTAATTTCAGTTTGTCAGTGGAGTTTCTTTTTTCTCATCTTTTGTTTTGATTTTCATTCTAATTTTAATTTGTTTTTAATCAGTAGAGTTTTTTTTACCATAAATCATAGTCCACTTTACTGTTAATTTTAGTTTGCTTGTCAGTAGAGTTCTTTTTTTTTCTCTAAGGGATGTCCATTAATTACGTGAGGTTTTTAGGGGGAAATAGTAAGATATCACATATTTATTTTTTACCTTTTTACCTTTTTCGAAAACTCGTAATTTAAATTTTTTTCGTAATTTTAAAGTTTGTGGAGGAAGGGTGTAATTTTGAATATTACCAAGGGGGGAGGGGAAATCTTCAAAAAAATCGATTACGTGATTAATGGACGCCCCCTAAATTTCATCAGTAGAGTCTCTTTTCTTTTTTTATCTAATTTGCGTTTGTCAATAGAGTTTCTTGAACCCGTAATTTTATTTTGCTTGTCAGTAGAGTTCCTTTTACTTCTAATAATTTTTTTTCTCGTCAGTGGAGTTCCTTGTACTCTTAATTTCTTTTTTTGTCAGTAGAGTTTCTTGTACCCTTAATATTATTTTCGTCAGTATGGTCTCTTCTACATTTAATTTCATTTTTATCAGTAGAGTTCCTTTTACCCTAAATATTAGCTTGTTAGTCAGGGTTTCTTTTACCCTTAATTTTATTTTGCTCGTCAGTAGAGTTCCTCTCAATCCTAACAATATTTTTGTCGTCAGTATGGTTTTTTTTTACCCTTCATTTTCTTGTACCCTTAATTTTATTTTGGTCGTCAATAAAGTTCAGAAAGGTCGTCAGAAACAAAAATGTAAAAATTTCTTGTAAGCATACACTTCGGCGCCAAATTTAATAAGTAGAATTCTTTTCTTTAATGCTTATTATTTTGATAGTCAGTCGAGTTCCTTTCACTTTTAATTTCATTTTGCTCGCCAGTCGAGTTCCTTAAGTTTAGTTTGCTCGTCAGTAAGAGTTCCTTTCACTCTTAATATTATTTTGCTCGTCAGTAGAGTTCTTTTAACCCTTATTATTTTGCTCGTCAGTAAAGTTGCTTTTACCAAAAGATTCAATTTTCAAAAATTTTCATAATTTTAAAAAAATTAGACATTAAAAAAAATAGAAAAATCGATTTTATACAAAAAATGTCAGGATATTTCGAAATTTTTAAATATATCAAAACAAAAATAGAGAATTTACAAAAATTTTCAAATTCTCAAAAAAATAAAAAAATCTAATTTATTTTTTTTTAATTTCAAAATTTAAAAAAAAAAAAAATTAAAATATTTTAAAAATAAAAATGTAAAAATTTTTTGTAAACGAACGCTTATCACCCAATTAATAAGCACTTATAAATTTACAGAGTGTATTTATAATAATCTATTTGAAGTTATTTAAAACAATTATCGATTATTTTTTCATTCCTTGAATGTTTGATTACGGTACGGGCAGTTCCAGCAATTTGCCGTACGGTACTACTAGTTTAATCTAGTGATTTGAATGCTAGCAGTCTGTATATCTCTCTTGATTGCCAATACAGCTTTTTTCTTTCTTTATCTCACTATTTCTATTATTTATTGTTATTTTGTTATATTTTATTATTTTTCTAGTATTATTTTATTATTCAGAAATTTTATTTATATTATTTATTAATTTTATTTTTATTATTATTTGCTTCTATTTTATATTAAATCATCATATTACGGATATTATTTTCATGTAAACTCTATCCTTTGCACTCTTATTTATTTAAATTTATGTTTATATTTATCAATATTGCTAGATGTTAATTATTTAACAGTTGTAATAATTATTGAAATTAAAAAAAAAGTTTAGTTTGCTCGTCAGTAGAGTTTTTTTTCACTCTTAATATTATTTTGCTCATCAGTAGAGTTCTTTTAACCCTTATTATTTTGGTCGTTAGTAAAGTTCCTTTTAGCAAAAGATTCAATTTTCAAAAAATTTCATAACTTAAAAAAAATTAAATATTTCAGAATATTTCGAAATTTTAAAATATTTCAAAACTTTCAAGAAAAATCGAGAATTTTCAAATTCTCAAAAAATTAAAAAAATGGATTTTTAAAAAATGTCAAAATTTTGAAAAAAAAATCAAATTGTTAAAACATTTCAAAAATAAAAATATAGTTTTTTTTGTAAACAAACGCTTATCGCCCAATTAATAAGCACTTATAAATTTACAGTGTGTATTTATAATAAATAATCTATTTGAAAATATTCAAAACAATTATTAATTATTTTTGGGACATTTCCCATAAATGTAAAATTGGGTTTATAATGAAACTCTTGTTGACTTCTTTGTTTCACTAATTTATTCCCTTATGATTTACATGTGCATAACTTAACTTATTTATTTTATTTATTATTATTTGATTTATTTAACTGGTTTCGCGAGTTACGCGGGTACTTTCTTATGTCCTTTCTTATTGACGCTTAAACTTGTACTGAAAATTATACCTAATATTTTTGGATAAATGTGTTTTATTGTCCTGTATGAAGCGAACAGCTTTGTGCTCGTGCGTTGTTGCATTTTTTGTACATTGGAGCAATTCGCTCCAATTCTCATTCCTCAAATTTTTAATTACGGTACGAACAGTTCCAGCAAATTGCCTTAAGGCACCTCTAGTCTAATCTAGTGATTTGAATGCCAGCATTCTGTCGCCTTTTTGATTGCCAATACAGTTCTTTTTTACAATCCTTCTATTTCTTTCAGATCCTGCCACTGCCGAAAATATCACCGAGCTTCTGGTAAGCGAAGGTCTGGTCACCGTCCGAAGGGATAATAATGCCGAATTGAACAAATTGAGAGAGTTGGAGGACGCTGCCAAGGCGGCCGGTAAAGGACGATGGGGCACCGCCAACCCACAGGTATAAAGGATACATTATAGAAAACCTATATCCTTTATGTGATTAATTTTCAATTTCTATTTTGTCCTTTAGGATCATGTCCGCGACATCAAATGGTCCATTGAGAATCCCCGCAATTTTGTAGACAAGTGTGCAGGCAAACCGGTCGAAGCAGTCATCGAACACGTTCGTGATGGTTCGACGGTTAGGGCATTCTTGTTGCCGGACTTTTACCATGTCACGCTGATGATATCAGGAATTAGGGTAAGTGGAGTAAATTAATTTTTGTAATGTATAATAAGGCGTACATATGTGCATAATTGACAAACTTCCGGAAGAAGTTTGTTTTCGCCAAAAAATCCGATTTGCTAACTTCATGTTCTCTCGACGTTTCAAGCCGTTTTGAATAGAATGAGACCAAATTTAAGGGAAAAGTATGTGTGTGAACTGTTTTTTGCCTTACGGAGGTTTTCTAGTGTAGAAGTTCAAAAACATCGTTTTTTTTTAATTTCATATTTTCAAAGTTTAACTATCTAAGAATATGGGTACGAGAAGGTTTTTGAAAATTTGAATTATTTTCGGTGATATAGGCATTTTACCGACTCGGTCTCCATACTGGTTTGGCTTCACGCAAAACTTTAAATGCGTTTTTCTCAGAACAGACTTTTTCAGTACTGTTGACACGATTCCTCGAGTTCTACTCGACTGATTCACTTGAAATGTTCAGAGTCTTGTATAAAAATTTTGCAATTTTTGGAGCACGTTCATAAAAAAGCTACATCATGACTTAATTGTAACTGAATGTTGGAAATATTAACAGCACATTATAAGAATATGAAATTGATTGTATATTTACATTCAATCGGCATTCATTATTTAATATTTTATTTCTATAATACACTAGCTATTTAAATTTTTTGTGTGTTTATGGTTTACTAATTATAAAAATAAGTTTAAAATGTGTTAAATTAAATTAAAAAATTAAAATTGAAAAAAGCTGTTTTAATTTTATTGTTATAATAATGTCGCAATTAGTGGCGTATTAGGTCGCAAACATTTCAACATTTGCGTAAAAATGTTCTTTATTAATTGTTCTAATATTATTTTTTATATTGAGGAAATTTATGATATTAAATTGTAGATTTACATATTTAATTTTTTCTGTTTAAGGGGGGCGATACATGTAATCGCCTTAATTTTTACCATTTTTTGAGGACTTTTTAAACTGGGAAGGAATGATTGAATCTTTTTGAACTTTTTTAGGGTTATTTATTATATATTAAAATACACGAAAAAAATTATTTTTTTATTTTTTTTTTTTAAATGGCTGCCGTAAAAATAAATCTGCCAAGACCCTCTCGGAAAACGCCATCAATTTGCGGGCGTTCTCACTTTTCGTACGGTGATCTGAATTTAAAAAAATTAGTTTGTACGTGTTCATAAAACATATATCTTCTAGTTAAACCAAAAAAAATTAAAAAAGTCACAAAATCGTAAATTGGCACACCTTAGAAAAAAAAAGTTCGATTTTTCACCTTTTTTTCAATGGTTTTTTTGGTAAAAGGGTTAATTTTTGAAAATTTTTTTGGAATGTTTGAGGTTTAACTAGAAGCTATTACTGTAAAGTAGATGTGTGCAAAATTTCATTGGAATCGGTTGAGAACTTTTTGAGTTATCCCGCCCGCAAATTTCAAAAATGTCGTTTTGAGAAAAACGCGTTTAAAGTTTTGACACATAGAACAGATAAGAGTTGAGGCGTGGCACTTGAATGAGTTTTTATTGTAAAAATAATGATAATTTTGTTTTGAATATTTACAGGCATATTTTTGAGATGTTATTGTAACGATTTATGAAAGAAAAAAAAATCGATTTTTTTTTTCTTGTTACATGTATCGCCCCCCAATGTTGCACCGTTCCTAATTTCCTGAAGCAGTATTTTTACTAGAAATTTAGGTGCTAATATTATTTTTTTGATGTTTAATGACATTCAGATTCGTTTGAGACCAAAATTGAAAAATGTGTGTGTGTGAGCCAAAATTTGCCTCAAATATTGTTTGTCTTTTTAGTAGTTCATCATTTTACTACAATTTTCTTGTCGGTAGAGTCCCCTTCTCTAAATTGACATCTAAAGTACGTTTTCTACACTTGCCCCGTCATTTACTTTATTTTCTTTTACTGAACTGATCTAAATTCTTTTTGGACAGTAGTTTTTTTTTTTTTAATATAAGTAGTATGTCTTCAAGATGGAGTATTAGGCTTTGATATATTAATTTATTTTTAAACTTTCATTAAAATAATTTCGTTAAATTGTAATCTATTTGTTTTGCTTTCCAGTAGAAAATAATAGCGAATAGTGAGTTCGTTTTTTTTTTTTTGAGTTACATTTTTTTGTTTTTGTATGATGTTTTAGTGTTTTCAAATTTGCTCATCAGTCCCTTTGGAAAAGTAATTGTTTCTAAAATGATTTTTAATTTTCCTTAGGGTAAGTTATAGTAATCGCAAAAAAATCGAAAATGAAAATTATTGCATATCTTTACGTTTTAAAGGTTTTTGAACATATTGGCATAATTTAGAAAAAATTGATGTGTGTGCGTATGTTTGGATACAATTTTTCAAGTGCTTGTTTTCAAGTTTGCTTTTCAATCGATTTAATTTTTTTTTCTGAATTTAATTATAAGTAGAGTCTCTTTGTCTTTTGTGAATGTGACAAAATTGTCTTCAAAATTCAGTATTTGAATCATTTTTGTTCAATTTATTTTAAATCTTCTGCTAGTAGTATAGTTCACTTTTTTTAAAGCGATATTCAATTTTTTTTTAATACTTGTTGCTAAAGTTTTTTTTCCATTTCCATTTTTTATTCTAACATGCCTTTAAATTGGAATTCCAGTTTTTGATATATTTTTAATATTTTTTAATTTTACTGAAATCTATACTGAACTACTGAATCGATTACGATATTCAAATATTAGATGGAAATTTCATATTTTATTTGTTAAACAAACATCATGAAATATTATAAGCTTAAAAAAGTTGTAATTACAAACATTTAGATTTGAAATAATGGGTCGAGCCCTTAGTGCATATTGTGTATTTCCTTACAAATTGAATTGAATTTCGAAAATTTTATCGCAAAAATTTGCATCTTCAGAAAAGCACAAACACAGAAAATTATTTTTTTGTGTACAGAAGAGATGCTAAAATAATTTAGTGGATATCCAATGTGGTTATACGAAATGTATTCTCACTATTTCACCCCACTTACAATCTAATATCAGCAAAATATTGTTAAATATGATAATTTGCATTTAACATTCAATAATTGTATAATTATCTATAATTACATATAATTATTTTTTCAGTCATATAATTTTTGTTTCGACGTTGAAACATATTCTTGAAATGTTTATTGCAGCCAAATCGTCGAAAGAAAAAGCGATAAACAATAATTAAACTATTCTGTACATTTTGACACTGTATGTGTGTCATCATTCAGCTAAACGCGCAACAAATTCTAAAAGTTATTTTACATTGTTTAGAATTTTCTTTACATGAGATACAATAAATATAAAGAAATATATCAGGTGAAATTAAACAACACATTGTAAATAATGAGATTATTTTTACTCTTTATTTTGATCGTCAGAGTTCCTTTCGCTCTTAATTCTATTTTTCTTACCTGTAGAATTTGCCGGTATTTTTTACACCTTCAATTTTATTTTGTTTGTATATAGAGTCCTTTTTTCAGTCTTCAAATTTGTTTCTCAGTACAATCCCTTTTATTGTCTTGTAAGTGTAAAATCAGTGGTGTCTCATTATTTGTCTTGTACGTTTAAAATTAAGTTCGGTCGTCAGTAAAGTCCTTTTTATATACTAGTCTCCAAATTAATTTGCTTTAATAATAGTTCCTCATTATTTTTAAAAATAACAGAATTCCTTGTCAGTTAGAGTCGTGGAATATTTGGTGTACGGAACCCTATTGCTTAGGTTGATCTACCACTTTGGATAGTGCTCGTTTAGACCTTTCATTTGATACCCCACATGACCATATCTGACGTGACAACAAATTTGATCCTACAGCAACCCATTGGTCTACCTTTTATTAAATATCTTGTAACTTTTGAACCGTTCGTCCAAAATGAATAGAATATTCGGTGAATTTGTACTAAATTAAGAAATTCATTATATTGTTTAGTATTTTAGTGCAGTAAACGGAGAGGAAAAAAGGGTATAAACTCTGAATTTTTTTACTGTGCTCCGAATTGAATAAAATTTTGGAATTAGGTTAATCTTACCCAAGTTCAAAAGTGAAAACAATTAGGGTTGCGCCATCATCCCCCGGGGGGATGACACCTCTTCTCAATTGTGTAATTTTACATTTTTTCAAAATAACGTCGGAAATCGATAGAAGAACTAATTATGAGAAAAAAAATTCTTTATTAGTTTTTCAAAAAAAAAAAATACTTTTCAAGTTACTGGCCACTAAAGATTCATATATTTTTGGCGTTTTTCTTGTTTTTTTTTCTCAATTTTTTTTAAAAATCGAAATTATTTTCATTATATCTCAAAAAAAATAAAAGATACGTATAAAAGCATATAGGTAAACATCAAAGCGATCTTTCTGGCTTATTATTGTTTTTTTATTATTTTTCTTCCACACAAAATTTGACAGAGTTATCAAAGTTTAAAGACTGCGCGGCTGCGCAAATTGCAACAAAACGTTTTTATAAAATCGTGAGATTTATGAAAATAGTTTGCACTCAAGTAGTGAATCTGCTAGAATCCATCAAGATGTCTATAATGAAGTGAATTCTAGATGAAATGTGAGTTACTTTAATTCTGGTGGAAATGGCGCTCATTAAACCATATCATTTAAAAGAAAAAAAAAACATCGTATATGCTTCTTATTTGCATGATAGCTCACTCATTTTACACGCAAAAAACTTGTAACAGCACTCATTTTAAAGCTTATGTTGAGCACTATAAAACCCAATTTCACCGAAATGCATAAAATGTAATACCTCGACACTAGATGGCTTTAAATACAACAATTGAATCTTGAACGAAATAAAAAACGACTTTGTTATTTCAAATCTTGCTTAATATTTTTCCTAGAACACTTTATGTAATACCGATTTATTAAGATTTTTATTGACATTATTTTGTTCATTACATGATTTTCTTTAAAATGTACATTTTAGGAAGTATTTGCAAAAAAACGAAGAAAAACGCCAAAAATATATGAATCTTTAATGGCCAGTAACTTGAAAAGTATTAGTTTTTTTTGAAAAACTGACATTTTTTTCTTATTAGTTCTCCTATCGATTTCCGACGTTATTTTGAAAAAATGTAATTACACAATTGGGAAGGGGTGTTATCCCCCCGGGGGCCGATGGCGCAACCCGAATTGTTTGAGGGTAAGATGAACCTAATTCCAAAATTTCATTCAATTCGGAGCACAGTAAAAAAATCAGACCTGAAACGCTCCGTTTACTGCACTAATTATTAATATACAGCAACTCGCTCAAAGCTCGTATCTCGAATTATGCTCGTATATCAAAGCACCGCGCCTTTGGCGACTCGTATCTCAAGTCTGGGTAATCGCAGTATATTTTATTCTATATGTATTAATCTTTTTCTCCCAGTGTCCAGGTTTCAAGTTGGACAACGACGGGCGTCCAGACACGTCGGCCGTCGTGCCCTACGCCGAAGAGGCCCGCTACTATGTCGAATCCCGCCTTCTACAGAGAGACGTCCAAATCGTTTTGGAGTCGGTCAACAATAACAATTTTGTTGGCACCATTCTCCATCCGAAAGGAAAACATCGCGGAGGCGCTGCTTCGGGACGGATTTGCCAAGTGCGTCGACTGGTCGATTGCCTTCATGAAAACCGGTAAGTTGAGGAAAAGATGGGTGAAAGATTTTGTTAAACCTAAAAAGTTGTTTGAGGCAGGGCTTTTTAAACTCTTTTTATTCGTGACACCATTTATAATTGCGAGTTTCTTGACGACCCCACACAAATCTAAAAGAAAAAGAAATGAATATTTTTAGATGTTTTATCCATTAGGTAATATACACATGCTGAATTAGTTGTAAATCATACAAAAATATAGACGTGATATTATAAAATGATTACATTTGATAAAATCTTTTGCGATCCAGAATTTTTTACCCGATTCCATTTGGGGTCGCGACCCATAGTTTAAGAAGCCTTGATTTAAGGTGTCGAAGTGCAACTTCTAATGCGATTTTCAACAAGGTTGAGTTAAACAATTAATGCTATTATAGAGTTTTTTTAGCAGCCATGTTGCATTTCCAAAGATTTTTAATTTCATAACGCTCATAAGTTTGTACGTTCTATTTGTATATAGGATTTTTAACGTCCCGAAGGAAGTTTGTTTTCATCAAAAAATCCGATTCGCTAATTTTATGTTTTCTCGAAGTTTCAAGCCATTCTGAATCGAATGAGACCAAATTTGGAGCAAAAGTATGTGTGTGTACGTGAACAGGTTTTTTGCCGTAAATCGACGTTTTCTCAAAAACGGCTGGACCGATTTCAAAAGATTTAAAAGCCATTCGATGTGTCTCGATGAGGACAATTGGTAGTCAGTTTTGTGCGACGATCGGTTTAGCCGTTTCTTTATAAATCGCAGAAAAGTGAAAAAATTTTTCAGTTTTAGCCCGCAATTCTGAATCGATTTTGAAAATTCAAAAACCGTTCGAAAGATATTGATTGGGAATCGTGCTGATTAGTTTTTGGTAAAGATCGGCCGGGCCATTTTCTTGTAATATAGTTTTTTTTTTTTTAGAAAAATTAGACGATTTTTATGATTATTTTTTTGACGGTAGATACCATAGCCTTTTAGATCATACCGAAAATATTACAGCCATACGACAACTCGTTTAGCTTTAAAAATTCATCAAAGTTTGCAAAAATTAGTATCGTTCTTTTGGCACTTGTCAAAATTAGAACTTTCATCCACGTTTGCTCAAAAACGCCTGAACCGATTTCAGAAATTTTAAAACCATTTGAATCATTTGATGTATCTCGATGAGGATTATCGTTTCTCAGTTTTGTCGGACGATCGGCCGAGCTGTTTCTTTGTAATTTGAAAAAAAAGTGTTTAACTTTTCGTTCATATTTAAGCTCAAACTACCGAATCGATTTTAAAAAATTAAAAACTGTTAGAAAGATATTAGATAGAAATTAGAGCCGTTTTCTTGTTATTAACTGTTGAAGAAAAAATTAAGCCGATTTTTATGTATTTTTTTTGGCAATATACATCATGGTCTTATTGAACTTACTGAATTGAGAAAGAAAATAGTAGAGGATTCTACTAACGAGCAAATTAAAAAAAAAAAAGGGCTCTACTGATGACCAAACTAAAACAAAAAGAAAACAAACTTATCGACGAGCAATCTAGCTCTTCTGGTTTGTCAGTACAGTTCCTTTTCTTTTTCTTTAAGTTTCTCGCCAGTGCAAGTTTTTTTCTTTGTAAGAATCTTCCACTGTTATTAAATGACATTTCACCAATAATTTCCGAAATTGCACGTCAGTAGAATCCGTTTTTATCATAAAATAACCATTGAATATTAGTTTACAGTAATTTCATCAATATTACTTGTAAATTTCCACATCTCACAGGCAGTATTGAATTGTTCTACATAAATTGCAATACGTTCATGAATGTGGTACATTAAACTATCCATTTTGATTTGAGACTCGTATTTTTGTATATACTTTGTCTCAGTGTACTAATGGAACAAATTTTTAATAAAATAATAAATGCTTTAAACAAATGCATTGTGTCAAAATATAAAAATTAAAATATATTTATTGATTGTTTAAGCAATGCATCAGCAAAAATATTTATCAAAATGTAAATATCAAACCTATCATTTATTTTTAATTTAATTATTTGTCTATTATTTTAATTATTTGTTATTATTATTTATTTATTTGTCTTTTTCCGCCAGGTGCTGATAAGTTACGTGCAGCCGAACGTGATGCCAAGAACAAGAGGATACGTGTCTGGAAGGACTACCAGAGTGCTGGTCCAGTGGTCTCTGGTAAAGAACGTGAGTTTGTAGGAACTGTCATCGAAGTCTTCAACGGTGATGCTCTCAACCTGAGGTTGAGCAACGGCTCGGTCAAGAAGGTGTTCTTGTCTTCGATCAGACCACCTAAGGAACCTGGCCGGTAAGGAAAGTCTTTGTATTTATAATTGTTCATTATGATGGTTATATAAAATATTTTTATATAATATAAATAAATATTTTTATATAATATAAATAAATATTTTTAAATAATATAAATATCATTATAATTGTTCATTATGATGGTTGATGTAAAAGAGAGCACAATGTGCCTTTGCACAAAACGCTGCATGGATTATTGATGTGAAGTTGGCGCGGTGTTCGTTGACAGTTGAAACCACGCGCGCGAAATTTGAATTTTGTATTTTTTATAAACAATTTTCTCCAGCAAATATTAGTAATACGGTTTTATTTATTCATTTCCACATCTCAGTCAGTATTGAATTATTTATTTTCTTTGATGTGCAGATAAAGACAGTTGATGTAAAATAGAGCTAGCTCCATGTGCATTGCACAAAATGCCGCATGTATTATTACAATGAAGTTGGCTAGTATTAACGCGTGGTTTTGACAGTTCACACCGTGCGCGCGAAATTTAAATTGCGTATTTTAATATAAACAGTTTTATGCATTTAATATCAGTTGTATGGTTTTATTCATATATTTCCACATCTCACAGGCAGTATTGAATTGTTACACATAAATTGCAATACGTTCATGAATGTGGTACATTATTTCATTAATTTTTTGAGGCTTGTATTTGTTATATACTCTGCCTTAGTGTACTAATGAAACATTATTTTTAAAATAATATTTATTATTATTCGATATTATTATTGTATGTATTGTAAACTTCCCGTTTTTGCCAGAGAATCAAATTTACTAAGGTGTGTTGAGCTAAAATTTGCTTAGTTTTTTCGTTTTTTTTTTTCATTCAATATTTTACACAATTTTCTATAATTGCTTGTCCGTAGAGTTCCTTTTATGAACTTCTAAAAAATATTTTTTTTACTGAATTTGTTCAGTTTTTGATAGTTTATTCAATTTTGCTCTTGAGTAAAGGTCAGTTTTCTGAACTAATAATTTAGTCCTTTTTTGTGATCAGTTATTAATGAAGGATATTATTTGTTTCTGAAAAAAGTCTGATACTTCTATAAACTTCTGTAAAAAATTCACAAGTATTTAACAAATTAATAAGCAAAGATTAATTTGATAATCTTTATTCAAGACATTTTGACATTATTTTGTATATATATACAGATTCTTTTATAAAAATTAATTAAAATATTTATCTAAATATTTTAATTATAACAATTGTACTTATAACTAGATGCAACTCCTTTCCACGCCACCCAGGAGGTAGAGTTGCCGGGCGCGTTTTTTTTAATGTGGTGTCGCCACACAATTGTGCAGCCCTAATCCACCTAAACTAACTTATAAACTAATTATACCTAACTTATAAGCTAATTATACCTAACTGACACGAATGTAACGCGAAAAGAACCCCGCGATATGACCTAATGTAAACCCAACAATTTCGATATTTAAAAGCGAAAGAACCTCTCGTGATGAAGAAACTATTAATATAGAAATTATATTTTAGCATTAAAACGGAGATCGTAAATTTACAAAAAAAAAGTATTTACATGATGTACCCCCCTCGATCCACCATGTAAACACTGAAAAAAAACTCCATAGGTGCCCAGCCTATGAAGCTTAAGGACAAATCATTTTGTGATTTGTAATTATTAATTTAGGTTTTAAAGAAAAGCGCGAAAAATGAAAGAAAGGTTCCTCCACACGCCACCCAGTTTGAGCTCTAAACAAAAATACGCGAATAACCCCAAAAAATATACGACCGAAAATTTTAACGTAAATACACCAACCAAAATTACGCGAATAACCCTAAAAAAATACGTGAAAATGCCCGTTAACTTGATCTTAACTGAAGACTAATAATACAATAACAATAATACAATATGAGTAAATATCTAATAATAATTACACAATATAAGCAGAGTCTTTTCTCACACTTTCACTTCACTTCACTTCATTTTTGCACGTATTGTCGAATTTGGTAGTGGTTTTCCGTTGGTCCTATTTTGTCTTGAGCAGGATTTCTGGCAATCTTCTTGGAAAGTTGTCGACAATTCTGAAACAAACATTGATTGATTAATTTAATTATTCAATTTAACAATTGTGTACCTAACTTCCAGCGGTCTTATGGTGGTCTTGAGTGCGTAGTTTGTTGGGAATCTTCTTGAAAATATATCTGAAACGAGATAAAAAAACACACAATTTTTGTGTATTTACTCGTCAGTGGAGTTCTTTTTTTCAAATGTCACAAGAATGTATTTAAAATAAAGTCAGTTTTTATTTTTTTTTAATTAGTGTAGTTTTTTTAAATATTTTGTTTGTAAGTAGAATTTTTATTTTTTTATTAACTTATATTTTTTTTTTATTAAACTCTACTAATGAGCAAATTGATTTTTAATACGCCAAATATCATTGGACAAAAGAGAACTCTACTGACAATCAATATAAAAATAATTAAGAAGACTACTGACGATTAATTACAATATATTAGCCAAACACTATATTTTTACATCTAAAATATTGACTTGAAATATTTTATCAAAAATAGCAAAACACTATAAAAGTAAATTATTCCATATTAAATATTTACAGAAACAAAAGGACTCTACTGATGAGCAAAATCGAATACATTATTGCTTCATAACATTTTTTTATTTATTTGGAATAAAAAGGACTATACTGACGAACAAATTAAAATTCATTTTATTAAAAATATTAGCTAATATAAATAAAAAGAACTTTACTGACGAGCAAACTAAAATGTTTTTAAATATTGACCAGACACACAAAAAGAAAAGGAACTCTACTGACGAGCAATCTAACATTTATTTTATCAAAAATATTGACCAGGAACAAAAAGTAATCCTACTGGCGATATAAAAAAATCGACATTTTGTACGAAAAGGACTCCACTGACGAGCAAACTCTTTTGTGATTTAAAGAAAGTAAAAGAAACTCTACTAACAAGCAAACTAAAATTTATTTTATCAAAAATATTGACCAGGAACAAAGAGGAACTCCACTGGCGATATAAAAAAGATCTTTATTTTGAACGAAAAGGACTCTACTGATGAGCAAACTCTTTTTGTGATTTAAAGAAAGTAAAAGAAACGCTACTGACGAGTAAACTTAGATTTATTCTTTCAAAACTGACGACCAAACGAAAACTCTATATTTAAATGCTGTATTAATTTCTAAAAAAATATCTCCTCACACACACTTTGCAGAATATTTGTCAAAATTTAAATGTTGTATGGAAACAAGTATAGTATGTTCGTTTGTTCTGCACTATACTACTTTCCATAATGAGATTTCAGCGTACTTACTACGCGAGATATCTGAAGAAATGCAATATTTGTATGGAATTTAGTATACTAAGAACTTTTTAGAGAAAAATACATAGGAGAAAAATGTAAATAAAATCCGATTTGTTATCAAATAAAAAAATTTCAATTTATACCTATACTTTTTGAAAGCCTGGAAAATCCGCGACAGAACATCTAAATCCGGGACAAATTTGACTTTCACGTATTGTCAACCTTACTTTTTGCAGCTTGTCTTAATGAAAGTTGCCCTTTACACCTAATCAATTTTCTATTATCTTTTTATAGAGTCGCCGACGAAGAAGGTAAGCTGCCCACCCGCCCTAAAAACTTCCGACCCCTGTACGACATTCCATGGATGTACGAGGCTCGTGAGTTTCTTCGAAAGAAGCTCATCGGCAAGAAGGTCAACGTAACAGTAGATTACATACAACCCTCCAGAGACAATTTCCCAGAGAAGTGCTGCTGTACGGTCACCATCTCGAACGTGTAAGTGGAAATAGATTTACTAATGCTGATGTGCTTTATTAAGGAATTGATTTTTTTTTTACAATAACTATTGACGTAGTGTTCAACCACCACAGTTAGGTTGTGCATTCACGATACGTCTAGTGCTATGCACGGTAGTTCTGTGGTAAATTAAAAAATGCTCTTGGATTTTGCTCCAATTTAAGGCTATTTACGAATACAAAATAGTCTGCAGCATTATTCCAGGCACATATTTAATCATTTTCGCTGCGAGGAGTGATGACACTGTTGTACGAGATAATAGACATCAACACAATATAATATTATAGGTCTGTGAACAAAGGTTTAGTTATACTTTTTTATGAAGTTTTGGGAAAAATGTAAATAGACGCACTATATTGCGCGTGGCTTATTTTTTAAAACTTTTACCTATTTTATTTTATTTTACAAATTTATTTTTACAAATTAACCATTTCTCATAGGCCTATAGCATATATTTTATCTTGTTACAACAATGCATCCGTGTGTTGTAACCGAAATGTCGACAAAAATTCAAGTCCTTTTTCCATTATTTCAGTTTTGCTCCCTTTTTATCATTGTCTATATTGCACCGAATTTGCTAGTCAGTAGATTATTTTTTTTAAGTATAATAACATTTTGTATGGAAGCTTTTTTCTAAAAGTTTTTGTCAGTAGAGTTTTGTTTTATGTGAGACCTTTTGTTTTATGTAATATTTTACTCTTTGTTGATTGTTAAAAAATAATTTTTATTTTGCCCGTCAGTAGTTTTTTTTTTAATAATTTCTGAAATTACTAGTCAGTAAGGTTAGTTTCCTTAAAAAAAATGACTATCTTAAAAAAGTTGTCAGTTTTTTTTTTCAAAAAGTATCAGATTTGCTCATCAGTAGTGTTCCATATCTTCAAAAAAAGTACCAATTTCAGATCTTCTTTTTTTAAAAAAAAAAAAAAAAAAATCTGAATTTGTTCGTCAGCAGAGTTCCTTTTCATAAAAAAAGTATGAATTTCAGATTATTTCTTTTTTTAAAAAAATGTCAGATATTGCTCGTCAGTAGAGTTCATTTTTTCCCTAAAAATATAAAAATTAACTCGTCTTTTAGTTTTTTTCATTATTTGAATTTCTAAAAGTCAGTGGAATTCTTTTTTTTTAGTCGATATGTATTTTTTTGGATACTTCATATATTTTAAATACAGTTTAAATAGTCAAAGTTCATTTTTTTAATAAAAAAAATTATCAAAATTTGCTGGTCAGTAGATTCCTTTTTTTCTAACATCGTCGGAATTTGCTCATCAGTAGTTATTACTTTTATTTAATAAAGTCAAAATATCGCTTTTTACTCAGTTTTTTTTCTTCTGAAGATGCCAATTTCCTTGTCAGTAGAGTTCTTTTTTTTTCTAAAATTAATAAATTATTATATATTTCCTTTTAATTAAAAAAGTCGGATTTTCAGTTTTTTTTTTAAAAGAAATGTCTGAATTTTCTCGTCCGTAGAGTTAATTTTTACCATAAAAATATCAAAATTAACTCGTCAATAGAGTTCCTTTCACTAAATATTTGAATATATAGCCCGTCAGTCGAGTTCTTTTTTTAGTCGATATATATTTTCCTTGCACTTCATATATTTGAGTCAGTAGAGTTCGTCAGTATTTGCTGGTCAGTAGCCAGTAATTGTTGGAATTTGCTCATAAGTACTGTTCCTTTTATTTAAAATAGTATGTTTTTTCTTTCATTTTTTTAAGTGTCTCAATTCGCTCGTCAGTAGAGTTCTTTTTATTCTAAAAATGTCAGTTTGCTTATCAGTAAGGTTCTTTTTTTCCCAAACTTGACCGTCAGTTCATATTTAAAAAAAATGTTAAACTTTGCTCGCCTGTAGAGTTTATGTCGTTTTTTTTTAAAAATGTCATAATTTGCTTGTCAGTAAACTTCATATTTTTAATATTTGAATATGCCTATCAGTAGAGTTTCTTTTATTGAAAAAAAAAAGACAGAAAGACAGAAAAGACACTTTGTATATTATCTTCCTTTTGTTTAAAAAAATCGCAACTTCAGTTTTTTTTGGGAAAAAATGGCTGAATATGTTTGTTTGTAGTGTTATTCTTTCAGTCGATATATCTCTTAGGCATTCACAAATTATAATTATATTATATAATTATATATAAGGTTGTCAAATATCTCCCTTCCGCCTTTTGTATTATAAACCAAGAGCAAAAAAGCGGAAGGGAGATATTTGACAACCTAATATGTAATTATAAGATTAGAGAACTCTACTGACAAAGCAAGATCAAGTCCTTTAAAATGCTATTTTATCGCAAACTGATTGATATTATAGTTTCGCTTATGGACGATATTAACGATGACATATAATCCTAGACTTATAATTTAGACTTATATTTCTTTGGAAAGTATGTGTACAGTAATTTTATTTTTAATTTTTGTCGCCCCCTAATTAGGCCATCGTGTATATAGCGAAGCAACCTACCTTTCAAACGTTTATTTATTTTTTATAATTTAACCACTCCTCACAGGCCTATAACTTCTTAAAATATTCGGTTTGATTATTAACTCTATCACCATGCGAAATCTTATAAGTGTAAACGTGAGGTTCTCTTCGTCAGAGCAATGGTTCACACTCGTACACACAGGTCGTCAAGCGAAAGGGTTAACTAATAAAATAACTAAGTTGTCAAATATCTGCCTTCCGCCTTTTTGTATTATAAACCAAGAGCAAAAAAGCGGAAGGGAGATATTTGACAACCTAATATTTTAACGGTATACCAAATTTTTTAATCATCAATCCTTTATCTTTTAGCAATGTCGCCGAAGCGATGGTCGCCAAAGGGCTTGCAACGGTCGTCAGATACAGACAAGACGATGACCAACGAAGCAGTCACTACGATGACCTTTTGGCAGCCGAAACGAAGGCTATCAAGAGCCAAAAGGGCGTCCATGCCAAGAAGGAGTCGTCTGCACAACGTGTCGCCGATCTCTCTGGGGTGAGTCTGTTGAAAGTCATACATAGATTGGTAAATTTTTGGATAAAATAGATAGTAGTCTCTTGTACATTATCCACTAGTAGTCACGGATATGTTTTATCTAATCTCCAAATGGTACAAGTATAACATTAGTTCGATTGGAACGCATATGTTCCAATAAGTGCAATAAATTGTTTAAGGGGGTATTCTAGTGTAGATCGATGAATTTTAGGTCATTTTTAAAGTGTCGTAAAAGAAAGCAATGAATGTTTTTAATATCTATTTTTTTTTACCACTTGTTTATTAATATTATTAAAATACAAAACAAAAATTAAAAAATATAAAAGTTGAAAATTGTAAAAACTGGCAGTTGATGAAGTGGGTGGTCTCAAAAAATTGGCACCTCAGTCTTGACATGATTTCAGCCCTCATAGCCATCGGAAATGCAAAAAATAAAAAGATTATTAATCTACAATGATGTCGCAATCGCCCGAACTAGCGATGAGTAAAAACAATTTTTTTCACAAATTGGCGACTGTTTGAAAAAAAGTTTTTTTTACTGTTTTTTTTGAGTTTCTCGAATTTTTTAAAATATTAAAAATAGGAATTTCGGGATGATTCTAGTTCAGACTATAGATAGATCTATAAACAAGACCCTCTGAAAATTTCAAATAAATTGGTCGAGTAGAAATCCAGAAATCGTGACAAGAGTACTGAAAAAGTAAGTTCTGAGAAAAACGCATTTAAAGTTTTGCGTGAAGCCAAACCAGTATGGAGACCGAGTCAGTAAAATGCCTATATCTCCGAAAATGATTCAAATTTTCAAAAACCTTCATGTACCCATATTCTTAGATAGTTAAACTTTGAAAATATGAAATAAAAAAAAATCGATTTTTTTGAATTTCTACACTAGAATACCCCCTTAATGCATAAGAGACCGGTAACTATTTTATCCGAGAATTAGTACATAAATTATTCTAAATATTTTTTATTAGATTATTTTTATTTTGTAACTGATGCCTGGCTTATTCATACATTTTTTGATTCCGTAGAAATCTGTATTGCATACACCAGGTATATTAATACATGCCGCTTTCTATGAAGAAATTGTACTCGATTACTTTTTTGATTTGGAAAGTGGTGTACATTTTTATAAAAACAAGACTTATGTTAATGTATAGGTAATTAAGTTACAAATTTATTGCATGTGGGATTTAAATAATCTTTCTTATATATAAAAATAAACGCAAAATGTGTTGGTAAGCGCATAACTCAATAATGACTAATTTGGCCAATTCTTTTTTTAAAATCTTTGTCCAAGAAAGGAAGGCGAGAAAAAATTGAATAACTGCCTGGAAAACCCTAAAAACAGCTCTTTACGTTTTCACATACAAACGTAGAATTGATTTGAGCTTTAATGCTATTATATAAAGTTCATATTAAATTACAAGCACTCACTGTATACTCCTCATAAACGATTATTCGGATTTTGATGATTCTTTCTGAAGTATGTTCAGGAAATTTTCTAGGATACACTACGTCTAGGATGTATGTGATTATAAAGTACTGGGATGTATGTGCAATATTGTGGAAATAAATGGGAAAAAATGCAAGAAACGACATGTCATTGTTTGCATTGAAAAGAAATAAAAACTATCATCTGCCAAAAATTTCAATTTACTCATGAACCTAGACAATATTAGAATATGTATAATAAATTTTTGGTTATGAATAAGAAAAATTAAATGTCTACATTATTATTGCCAAAAAGCAGCTGAGATGTGCCAGAATTAATCAATAATTATTGTTTTTTAAATTGCTCTTCACGCCAAAATGCATATACATTTATAATATGAGCGATGTTAAATGTAGAGCTGCATTTAAATAAAATGAGTCTCAATTCCCACACTAATATATTGGAAATTGAAGTCTTTTAAACGGTATAACATAACCATAACCACAACATTACACTGATACTTCATGTTGGATTAAATTAATTTAATTTTTTATTATTAAAGATATCCAAAATTACATCTTGTACTACTCTTAGTCGATATCGTGAGGGCCGAATTGTATGTATTCATCTTCGCTTTCCCATTTGTTGTTACAAAGTGAAATTTTTACTAATTTTAAAAATATTGTGGAAAGATTAGTAAAAAAAATGCAAAGAAATTATTATTAAAAAAGAAATATATTAAAAATATAATATACGAATCTCGTGTTGGCGCCTCCTAAGGCGTGCGCTCGTATTTTTTGCATGCATCGCATTAAAGGTAGGACCGGCCCTGATTAATACTTAATTTCATATTTTAAGTGAAATAATTTGTCATATCTTGTTCATATGTGTATCATTCATTGTACCATACATATACTATATTTTATATTATTTTAATTTCTGGCATATCTCAACTGCTTTTTGGCAATAATAATGTAGACATTTCATTTTTCTTATTCATGATCATAAATTTGTTATACATATTTTAATATTGTTCAGTAAATTGAAATATGTCGAAAAAACAATGAGATGACGTTTTTTGCATTTTTTTTTTCATTTATTTCTACAATATTGCATATACATCCCTGTACTTTATAATCACATACATTCTGGAAAATTTCCTTAGCATACTTCAGAAAGATTTCTCATAATCCGAATAATCGCTCAGGAGGAGTATACAGTGAGTGCTTGTAATTTAATATCAACTTTATATAATTGCATAAAACGTTTGTATGTCAAAAAGAAAAGGGCCGTTTTTAGGGTTTTCTTGGCAATTATTCGATTCATTCTTATATATAAGATGTCTCAATATGTTCGTCAGTATAGTTCTTTTTTTAAATGTCGTACAATTTCATGTCGTAAAATTACCCCTTTGCGCTCAAGGAAGTTTTACTTCAGTAATGGATTTTCGACTATTGGAGAATTTAATTGTGAATTAGTTTTGTTACTATTTTTAAATACTCGTGCCACCTATTTGTCAATAACTATACAAGCATACATTTAAAATGCATGCTTTTATAAGTTCAATATTTTTTTCATCACATTTTGCATCACATCTAGATTTTTTTTTTAAACAAATTGTTTCTATTTCTATTTTCAGGACCTAACGAAAGCCAAAAAATACCTGCCTTCATTGCAACGTGCCCAAAGGACAGAGGCTGTTGTCGAATTTGTCGCCAGCGGTTCTCGTCTAAGGCTATATATTCCGAAAGAAACCTGCCTCGTCACCTTCCTCTTAGGTAAGACTATCAATATAAAAAACAAGAATTATATTTATTCCACATCTCACAGGCAGTATTGAATTGTTACACATAAATTGCAATACGTTCATGAATGTGGTACATTAAACTAACCATTTTGATTTGAGGCTCGTATTTTTGTATATACTTTGTCTCAGTGTACTAATGGAACAAATTATAAAATCATAAAATTCAATGTGAGTAAATTATTATTGTTAGTTATAATTAGGGAATGCAATACCGATGGAAAACTTCAATACCGGTATTTCGGTAATTTTTCATTTTATAACCGGAATACCGGTAAATTACCGGTATTTTTATTATCTTAAACAAACGTGAACAAAATTGAAAGTTAATAGTGCAAATATAAACAAATGTATATATAACAACTATATTCAACTAAACAATAAAATAAAACAATAAATTTATTTTTTTAAATAATAATTTAACAAATTTATACCCAATTTAATTAATTCATTATCACTATGGAGTACAGTAGGCCCTCGCTTTACACGGCACTCTGGGTACACGGTTCCCATACTACACGGAGCTAAAAATCCGACATCCCTCCGTCTACACGGACTTCTTATTACGCGGTATTTGGTCAACAGCCCATAAGTTCGTTGTACAAAAGAGTATTGATGTAAATTTTGTTATCGACTTTCATCTTTTAGACATGCCTGATTATATAATAGCTGCCTAAGAACACGTTTGAGCTGACTACTGCGTCGCGCCAATTTTTGAATAAGGTGTCAATGTCCTACATGTCATTTCGTCCGTATTACTCCTACTTCAAGTTGTATTTTTTGGTCTCCGTACAGCACGATAAAAATGGTGCGATTTGGACCAACTGTGAGTCTCTCATAGCACGGATCCCATACTGCACTATGTAAGGTTCCATAGAACGCACTACGAATTAGCCTGAATTGTATGTTAAATATGAGTTTCTTATAGCACGGTTCCCATACTGCACGGTACGCACTTGCCGCGTAAAGCGAGGTTTTACTGTATATTGAGTACTTTTCACCAAAAACAAACTTATGAGTAAGAAAGACCAAAAACTTAAAAGATCATATTACATGCATATTACATTATTATAATAAACTGTATGTGTTAAATTATCATAGTCTCCAATATTTTAAAAAAAATATTTTTCTACACCAAGGATGAGCAACACGCGGCCCGCCGGATATTTTTCTGCGGCCCGCCAAGCATTTCCCAACAACAGATTATTTTTCTAGATATTTTATTAGATCCTGAATATGTCGATTTTCAATACTAAAGTACGTTAGCTAATAGTGATGCAATGCTTAAAGGAGCATACGACTCAAATGACGAAATACGATTGTTTTTGAATATGAAATAAGAATTATATTATTACTTTCGGCTTTTTGGTAATTAAGAATAATATCTTTTGCAGAATCTTGTGTTTCACTTTTCATATTCAAAAAAAGAAAATGTGAACAAATTTTAATTGTGATTCCAAATGTTCAAAGCTAACAAGACTGCGGTTTTCATGTAAATGTTTTCTTCGCAATTCAACATGCAAAATAATATAGATTTAAAAAATGCACTTTTTCAGTAAACACCGAATTTTGTTATAAATCTTATGTCAGCCTGAGAAATTTTCGCTTTTGAAAAAAAAACGCAAATCAAATTGTGATAAATTCTTTTTTTGGAAGTACGTGTGTGCCCGAACAATTACACAGGTCCACAAAAGAAAAGTCGCTGGATAATAATTAATTCATTCAGAAAAAAATCTAGATTGAAGATTGTTCCGGTTTTTAAATGTTTTCTAATATTTTGTGCCCCAATGTTGACTATAGATTTATCTTCAGCGGTAAAAGGTACATTGGAAATCATGTCACACACCCAATTAATTAACTTGTGGTTAATTTCAACCACAAAATTCATAAAAATTCACCACCTATCAAAGTGAGTAAAACATATCAAAGCTGCATACGCGTTGCATTTCGCATTAAAAAAATTAAAATAAAGAACAAAATCTAAAAAAAAGCGCTGATATTGAATAGCTTATATAAAAAAACAGTGCTTTTAAATATTATTGGTTTTTATTTTGTATTAATATTTATAAACACTTATAATATACACTCGAAATCATGTGAAACACATACTTTGTTCAATTTTATATTTTTGTTCTTTTCTTGTGGCAATTTTGTAATTTTGTTGCAATTACATTATTCCCTCGCTCAGTCAATACATCTTTTGACTTAATTTTAGATCGGACTTTTATCAGAGATTATGAAAAAGCTTCAATTTTATTAAATAAAGCAATTTATTTTTACATGGTTTGTACAGCCGTAACAATTTTTTTATGCGAAATGGAAAACTACACACAACTCCAAATTTTTATTTTTTTATAATAAACATTTTAGTAGTCCAATCATTTTTTATATAACTCGGTAATCGATCAGTTAACTATTATCGCCTTTTTTGCGAACGATTTTTATTGAAATTCGATCAAGATTTTTTTGAGCTTCTAAAAAAAGCTTAAATTTATCTGCTTTATTCGCTGCAATATTTTAAAAATGGTAACGAAATGGTCACCACCGATAAAACTAAATGATTTGCAGGCTTATCCTATTGTACAAATAATTCTCGATGTGCATAAGAAGTACATAGTTTTTGAATGTCTTACAAAAGGAGCTATCTCAGCAAAAAAAATTAGTAATTTAATTTTAAAATCAGGAGATAAAACTGTTTTTGAGAGAAAACTGAAATTTTTTTCAGAGTATAACAATTACAATATGGATGTTAGTATTTTAGCTTTGCAGTGAGTAAATTATCCGATATTTATTAGTATTTTAGCGTTTGCAGTGGGTAAAATTATATTAATTGAATGTAATAATATTGGGATTAGTCATTTCTTATACTAATCATTTTCTAAAAATATTTTCCGTAGCTAAACGTTCGCCGGGTCAGCTAATATATATATAAATTACGTGCGGCCCGCCAAAAATTTTGAAAATTTAAATTGGCCCGTGGCTTAAAAAGGTTGCTCGCCCTTGTTCTACACTAATTTAGGATCGGATATTTTGTCGAGATTAATAATAAGTTACTATCATTGTTGGGTATTGTTATTTAAAACAATGTGATGCTTCTATAGTATTTTCAAACTTCGAAACGTTTTCAAAAAATAATATTTCACAATTGTAATAAGAAGCAAACATATTTAGTAATTATCATAATTATTATGTTTAAAGTTAGAAAAAAAATAAAGATTACGCAGGGGTAATCTGTATGATATAAAATATTTTGGTTCAAATATCACTTAAAAAACCGTTACATTTTCATATAAGACTAGATGACCCGACAGACGTTGTCCTGTACCCATATTTACAATTTTTTAATATAATATACAAATATTTACCGTTGACCTAAAAATAATAATTATGTTTTTTTAAATTACTCTTCACGCCAAAATGCATATACATTTATAATATGAGCGATGTTAAATGTAGAAGTGCTTTAAATAAAATGAGTCTCAATTCCCACACAATATTGTAAATTGAAGTCTTTTAAACGGTATAACATAACCATAACCATAACATTACACTGGTACTTCATGTTGGATCAAATTAATTGGATTTTTTGTTATTTAAGATATCCAAAATTGCATCTTTGCATCCTAATCGCTATCGTGAGGGCCAAATTGTATCTATTCATCTTTACTTTTCCATTTGTTATTATACAGTGAAATTTTTACAAATTACGAAACAATATTGTGGAAAGATTAGTAAAAGTAGCTATTATTTCTACAATATTGCACATATATCCCAGTACTTTATAATCACACGCATCCTAGAACATTTCCTTAACAAACTTCAGAAAGATTTATCAAAATCCGAATAATCCTTTAGGGAGAAGTATACAGTGATTGCTTGTAATTTTATATGAACTTCATATAATAGCAATAAAGCTCAAGTTGATTCTACGCTTTAGTTAGAAAACGTTTGTATGTGAAAAAGAAAAGGACTGTTTTTAGGGTTTTTCCGACGATTATTCGATTTTTTCTCGCTGTAAGAACCATCCTTGGACATCAACAAACATTTTAAAAAAAGAATTGGTCAAATTGGTCCAGGCGTTGTTGAGTTATGCGCTTACCAACACATTTTGCGATCCATTTTTATATATAAGAAGATGTAAACAAACATCATTATCTATCAGTCCAATTCTATTCATTGTAACACGATATGAAGCCTTTAGTAAAGCAAACAAATATTCAATTTAATGAGGAGTTGAGATAATATTTGACATTTGTTTGTTGTATCAAATAGCGCTTATGTAAAAATACCGAAAATACCGGTATTTTTGGAATAAATACCGGTAAAAATACCGCCGAAAAATCGGGCGGTTTACCGGTAATTCGGTATACCGGTAAACCGGTATTGCATTTCCTAGTTATAATTTATCTAATGTATCTTTTTTTTTTTCTTTCAGCTGGTATCTCGTGTCCGAGGGGCGCGCGACCCGGCATAAACGGAGCGCCTGCCCAAGAAGCGGAGCCCTACGGAGAGGAAGCCCTATCCTTCACTAAAGAGCGTTGCATGCAACGTGAGGTTCAAGTTCAAATCGACAGCATGGACAAGGCCGGAAACTTTATCGGATGGCTTTGGGTCGATGGACAGAACTTGAGCGTTATGCTCGTTGAAGAAGGTAAGATAATTGGATAGTAAAAAATCTACTATTAACTCCTTAACTTACCCTTAAAGTTGTTCAAGCTGGTGCAGCTTTCGCGACTATTTTCTCACACAGTGTACAGTTTACCACAAAAATAACTATGATTTTGTGTTTTGTAGTTTCGTATAAATAAATATTTTGTAATACGATTGACCGAGTCACGCCCGTAATTCGTAATATTTGTAAGTTGAGGGTCAACTATTATTAACTAAAGTAAATTATTAGTTAAATATAAAACTATTAATCTCTAAAGCAGAGAGAAACCCGATTTGCTGTTTTTCTTTTTTTTTTTTTTTTTTTAAATGTACAATATGAAACTAGAGCGGATGTTTCTTATGTCTGACTTTGTTAAATTCTGATTCGTAACGACGAAAATTAAGAACTCTACTAATTATGAAACCAATACATCAAAAGAAAACGAACTCTGCAAATTTAGACTTCTTTCGGAAAAAAAGAACTCTACTGACAAGCAAATTCAAACATTTTTCGAAAAAAAGAACTCTACTGACGAGCAAATTCAGACTTTTTTAGGAAAAAAGAACTCTATTGACGAGCAAATTCAGACGTTTTTTAGAAAAAAAACTAACTTTACTGATAATCAAATTCAGACATTCTTTTGAAAAGAAAAGTACTCTACTGACTTTCAGACTTTCTCTTTTTTTTTTAAAAAAAAAAAACTCCACCGGCAAACAAATTTATACAGTTTTAGCAAATTAGAAACTACTGATTCAGACATTTTTGGAAAAAGAACTCTACTAACGAATAAATTCATACAGTTTTAGAAAAAAAGGAACTCAATTTATGAGCAAAATGAGATATTTTTAGAAAAAAAAACTTTGACGAGCAAATTCAAACATTTAACGAACTTTACTGGCTGCCAAAATCAGACTTTTTGTTTTCAAAAAAAAGGAACTCTACTTACGAACAAATTCGTACAGTTTTAGCAAAGAAGAATCATCTGATGAACTCTACTGATGAGCAATTTCAGACGTTTTTTAGAAACAAACGAACTTTACTGATCAGCATTTTCAGGCATTTAAAAAAAAAGAACTCTACTGACGGGCAACTCCAGACATGTTCATTAAAAACGAATTCTACCGACGAGCAAATCAGACTTTTTTTTAGAAAAAACGAACTCGACTGAACAAATTCTTATTTTTAGAAAAAAGAACTCTACTGACGAGCAAATTCACAAATGTTTAGGAGAAAAAGAACTCTACTGGCGAGCAAAATCAGACTTGTTTTTTTTTTCAAAAACACAGGAACTCTGCAAATTTATATAGTTTTAACAAATTAGAAATTCTATTGATGAGACCTTTTTTAAAAAAAACACGAACTCTACTAATGAGCTAATTGAGATATTTTTAGAAACAAGAATTCTACCGACGACAAAATTTAACAATTTTTTAACAAAAAAAATGAACTGTACCGACGAGCAAAATCTTCCAGTTTTAGCAAAAAAGGAACTCTACTGATAAGTAATTTTCTAAGAAAAAAGATCTCTGATGAGCAAATTCGGACATTTTAAAATATATATATATATATATATATATATATATATATATATATTTTTCAGAGCGTTTTGGATCTCTTAAAACAATTAAATTAGTTTTTTTTTAGTACCAATATATTACACTTAAATTGCTTGTAATTTTTTCTGAAGTGATATTTTGTATGTAAGCTTTTTTCAAAAGTTCGGTTGTCAGTTGTCTTTTTATTTTATGATATTTTTCTCTTATTAATTTTTGAAAATTGTATTTTATTTTGCTCACTAGAAGAGTTATTTCGTTTTCAGAAGAAATGCCAGTATTTGCTTAGCAGTAGAGTTCTTTTTTTTTTTAAATGTTTAAATTTGCTTCTCAGTTGAGTTTCTTTTTTTTTCTAAAAATGTTAGTATTTGCTCATCAGTAGAGTTCCTTTTTTAAAAAAATGTTGGTATTTGCTCATCAGTAGATCTCCTGTTTTGCTTAAAAAAAAAAGAATTAGTTTTTGCTCATCAGTTGAGTTTCTTTTTTTCTAAATGTTACTATTTGCTCGTCAGTAGAGTTCCAATTTACTAAAAGAAAATTGGTATTTGCTCGTCAGTAGTTTCTTTTTTCTAAAAATTTTAGTATTTTTATGTCAGTAGAGCTCTTTTTTTTAAATATTACAATATGCTCGTCAGTAGAATTTTTTTGTTTCAAATTCCAGAATTTGCTCGTCAGTAGAGTTCCTTTTTCTAAAAATATCAGAATTTGCTCGTCGGCAGAGTTTCCTTTTTTGCTAAAAATTTTAAAATTTGCTTGTCTGTAGAGTTTCTTTTTTTCTGAAAATCGTAAAATTTGCTCGTCAGTAAAGTTGCTTTTTCTAGAAAAAATGTTAGTATTTGCTCGTGAGTAGAGTTCCTTCTTACTAAAAAAAAATTTGTATTTGCTAGTCAGTAGAGTTCCTATTTTTCTAGAAATGTTAGTATTTGCTCGACATGGAGTTTCTTTTTTTTTAAAAAAAAATGCTTTGAACAATTTGCTTTTTTTGTTTAAAAAAGTCAGAAATTACTTGTCGGTAGAGTTCCCTTTTCCTAAAAATGGCAAAATTTGCTTTTCAGTATAATACATATTCAGCTATAAAAATGTTGGATATGCTTTTCAGCAGTTTTTTTTTTTCTAAAAAATGTTAGTATTCGATTTTCAGTAGCTTTTTTTTATTAAATACGTGAATTAGTCCGTCAGTAGAATTTTTCTTTTATTCGATATATATATTTATTTATTTACTTTATTTATAATATATATTTTAGACATTCACAAAATTAGAAAACTCTACTGACAAGTCAAGATTAAGTCCTTTAAAATGCTATTTTATCACAAACTGATTGATATTATAGTTTCGCTTATGGACAATATTAACGATGACATATAATCCTAGACTTATAATTATTATATTATATTTCTTTGGAAAGTATGTCTACAATTGACTTGAATTTTATCGAGGATAAAATAAAAAAGGGCCTTATGTCTTAAAATGACAATAAAATGTACACATTACTTTAATTTTATAATATATTAATATAATAAATAATATTTAACACTAGAATGACGGAGGTTGGTTGTATGCCCATTTCGCCTGATTGAGAGTCAATTTGGGTAAGGGATTAGGGAGAAATTAAAATTACTTTTTGTATACCTTTCATTGTACCATGAAGAACCAAAAAATATTTAAAAAAGTCACTTGAAATTATGTATATCACATAAAAAGTGCAAATGAGTCAAATTTACTCACTCCGTCATTCTAGTGTTACATATACAAACTGGTAACTTCTGATGAATTTTGATTAAGTCCTATATTTAAAACGCTTCTCATAGGCCTATAATATTTTAGGGGGTTGGTTTTGATTGTCAACTCTATCACAATGTAAAGTTTAATCAAAATCAAAAATCCATTTATTCAACTAAAATACATCCACAAGCTAATCCTACCATTATATTTTTGTCAAATTTATCAACCAACCGACTATTTACTCTTACCCAGGTTTATTGTAGTAAAAAGGAACTCTACTGACGAGCAAATACTAATATTTTTAGCAAAAAGGAACACAACTCAGAAGCAATTTCTAACATTTTGTTTAAAAAAAAAAAAAGAACTCTACCGGCATTTCTAGGAAAACTAAACAAATTCTGACATTTCTAGGAAAACGAAAGAACTCAACTTGATTAAAATAAAAATCAATTTTCAAGAATTAACAAAAAAAAAAAACTTTTCGAAAAAAGCTTATATACAAAATGTCATTTTAGAGAAAAAACTGACAAGCAATTTATATACAATATATACAATGAAAAAATGAACTCTATTGAGAGTGAATTTATTAAACTATTAATACTATGTCGTTCAAGAAAAAAAACTATACTGACTAGCAAAGGGATTAACATATTGAAAGGTGCAATTAAAATAATAATTTAGAAAAGAAAGGACTCTACTGAGAAACAAATTCAGACACTTAGAAAAATAATTATTGAGTCTACTGAAAAATATAATTTTAGAACAAAAAGGATTCTACTGACGAGCAAACTGAAAATCAATTTTAAAAATAACTAACGAAATACCACTCTAAAAACAAAAAAGAACTCTGAAACACTCTAAAAACGAAGAATAAGAAAAAGAAAAATACATTCTTTTCAAAATGTCTAAATTTGCTCGTCAGAGTTCTTTTTTTCCTAAAATAAATGCTCAAAGTTCCTCATCAGTAGAGTTTCTTTTTTGCTAAAACTGTATGAATTTGCTCATCGGTACTTTCCATTTTTTTTTTTAAAGAAATAATAGTATGCTCTTGCTCATCAGTTGAGTTTCTTTCTCCATAAAAAAGTTAGTATTTGCTCTGTCGAATTTGCTCATCAGTAGAGTTTGTTTTTTAATTTCGCACTCGGTTTGCTCGTCAGTAGAGTCCCTTATACATTTTGCATCTGGTTTTGCAATTTTCTTCTCTTCTAGTTTGCTCGTCAGTAGAGTCTCCTTTTTAATTTCTCACTCGGTTTGCTGGTCAGTAGAGTCCCTTACAAATTTTGCATCTGGTTTTGCAATTTTCTTCTCTTTTTTTAGTTTGCTCGTCAGTAGAGTCCCTTATAAATTTTGCACCTGGTTTTGCAATTTTCTTCTCTTTTTTTAGTTTGCTCGTCAGTAGAGTTCCTTATAAATTTTGCACCTGGCTTTGCAATTTTCTTTAATTTTCCTGCCGGTGTAGTCTCTTTCAATTTTTTTTGTTTGCTCGTCAGTAGAGTTTCTTTTTTATTTTATTTTTGACAGAGATCACAGAGTAAAAAGGACTCTACTGACGACCAAACTGAATTGAACGATTAGGAACTCTACTAACTTGCTCGTTATTATTTATTCTCGTTAACTATAATCAGAACTCTAAATATTGCAAAAAATATTGGCAGAACCTTTGATAATTTTTTAAATTTAAATCAATTTATTAAACAAATGAAATACACCTAAGTCTGTTTTCACACGGTCTTTTTGTACACGGTTTTGATATAACACGGTTTGAAAATTGAATATTTTTAATTTTTTTACACAATTTTATTCCATTTAGCACGATTTGAAATTTTATGTACTTAAATTTTGTTTGTCAAATTTAAGTTTTGCGAAGTATGTTCATATCATAAAAAAGTATTTATGAAGGAAAAAATCTGAAACCATCGATAGTATCGATAGTTTGCGAATACTAGCTTCAAGATTTAAGTGAATTCCCCTTTAGCGCGTACAACCAATTTTTACTGGTCAAAGCAAATGTGAATAGCACTAATTTAGGGGAATTCTCTTAATGTGCCTACAATAAAATTTACTGGTCAGATTTAAGTGAATTCCCCTTTAGCGCGTACAAACAATTTTTACTTGCCATACATTTAATTTAAACTTGCCATAGATTTAATTTATATTACTTTTAAGATTATAGTGCATATCTTTTTTATCATTACTATGCTTGTGAAAATAAGCATTATATATTTAATTTAATAAAATAAACATGAATCTTGTTTTTCACTAATTTTAATAGGTTTTAGAGATTAGGAACAAATCACCCATTTTTGTATAAGATCAATGTCTTTTTTTACACGTTTTTTTTACACGACTTCTTCTGGAACCAATCTACCGTGTACAAACAGTTTTAGGTGTATGTAATTTGTAATCCCATAATTTTCCTATAATTAGACCAATAATATTTTAGAATATTCGTTAAGACCATGAACTCTATGTCGTAAAATTTCATCAAAATCGTTAGAAAATAATTCTATAAATTATTTACAAAGGAACGGCCAGTTCGATATCTACCGCTCATTTATCTTGCCACTTTCGACCAGTTACAAATCTATTAACTAATCGACTATTCCTTCTTACCCAGGTCTATCATCCGTCCACTTCACCGCCGAGCGTTCCCCCGAGCACATAAGAGCCCTGAAATCGGCCGAAGACTCCGCCAAGAGCCGCAAACTGAACATCTGGAAGAACTACGTCGAGCAGGAGCCCGAGGTCGAGGAGCAAGTCGAAAGGTCAACGAGGAAGACAAGCAAGTCGATCGTAAGGTGTCCTACGAAAGGTCATGGTCACCGAAGTGACGCCCGAAGGAAAGTTCTATGCCCAGAACTCGGAACAGGGACCCAGACTGGAGGCGCTGATGGCCAAGATTCACCAGGAGTTCACCGCTAACCCGCCGCTGGCCGGTGCTTACACGCCTAAGAAGAACGATTTGTGTGCGGCAAGGTAATAATAGATACATAGATATATATTAGGGTGGTCCTTAAAATGGTCATTTTCGAATTTCCTTGCTCACGGGAGCTCAAATGCTTCCAAATTGATAAAAAACAATTTTCTGAAAGCATGGAAAATTTTCAAAAAAATTTCAAAAATATTTTTTAGATGTAATTTAGCAAACAAATGAATGAATAAAACTCATTCATTTGTCGCTAAGTTATACCTAAAACATTTTTTTTTTAATTTTCAAAAATTTTTCCATGCTCTTTCCATACAAGTTTTGATTGAATTGCGCTCTATCTAAACGTTAATATATATATATATATATATATATATATATATATATATATATATATATTAACGTTTAGATATATATATATATATATATATATATATATATATATTAACCAAACAAACCAAAAAAAAATTCTATATATATTAACGTTTAGATATATATATATATATATATATATATATATATATTAACGTTTAGATATATATATATATATATATATTAACGTTTAGATATATATATATATATATTAATGTTTAGATATATATATATATATATATATATATATATATATATATATATATTGATAGATTGATAGATAGAGAGAGAGATTAATTGATGGGCCTTTTTTTGGATAACATTGCCGTGATGAAAGATGCATGACACTAATAAGAGTACATTTTCTCTGTTTGCTCGCCAGTTGAGTCCCTTTTGTCTTTTATTGCAGATTCTACATCAGTAGAGAGTCCCTTTTTTATTTTTCTTCTTGACAGTAAAATTCCTTTTCATTTTTTTCCTCAGTTTATTTATCAGAGGAGTCTCTCGTTTTATTACTTATTTTTTATTATTTTCTTTTTGTGTTCTCAATGCGCCTATGTTTTGTTTTGATAACTGATGTTTTGATTTTCTTGGTGTTGGCTCGAGCTTTTTTGATACTCTCTGTCAAAACTAACCTCCAAATAATACAAAGGTCAAGATAATATTACATTTTTAACAGGAATTTGGAAACTAAAACAGCTAGATTCTACTTGTCATTTTCCTATTTAATTTGTTCGTCAGTAGAGTCTCTTTTAAATTTTTTTCTCACTTTGCTAGTCAGTAAAAGTCTCTTTTAATTTTTCTCGTCAATAAAGTCCCTTTTTTCAGTTTGCTCATCACATTGTTTTTTAGTTTAGTTGTCAGTAGAGTCATACTTATTCAATTTGCTCGTCAGTATAGATAATATTACATTTTTAACAGGAATTTGGAAAGTAAAACAGCTAGATTCTACTTGTCATTTTCCCATTTAATTTGTTCGTCAGTAGAGTCCCTTATTCAATTTGGTCCCTTTTTAATTTTTCTTCTCATTATGAGTTTGCTTGTCAGTCAGTAGAGTTCTTTTTTCCTACTTTACTCGTCAGTGGTCTGTTTTTTCTATTTGTTCGTTAGTAGAATACCTTTTTGAATTGTCCTCGTCAGTACAGCCCCTTTTTTAATTTTTTTCCATTTGGTTGGTCGTCTTTTGTTTAGTTCGCCAGTAGAGTCCATTTTTTTTTAGAGGACTTAATCATTTTTTATTTTTAAGTATAAACCAAGAGTAATAATTATTTTGAACGACTTTTTAGTGTTGCCATATATAACAAAACATGTAATCAGGAATAGCTATTACACTTATATTAACATTTCGTACGAAATAAGTGTAATCACAGTTTGTTGTAATTGTTCCTGGTTTGTTCACACATTTTCTGATGCTGTACGAATTTGTGTTGTAAAAACCAGGTAGATTAAAATTTTTGCGATCGCATTTTGAAAGTAATTTATCTAGTAATCACTTTCATCAAGAGAGCAAAGGATATTATAAATATTAGTGTTTAAATTTTTTTAGTTGTTGAAAACTTTAACTTCCCGTAGGGCAAGTTATAGTAATCGCAAAAAATCGAAAATGAAAATTTTTATATATCTTCACGTTTCAGAGGTTTCTGAATATTTTGGCATACCTTAGAAAAAATGGATGTATGTGTGTGTGTGTGCGTGTATGCATGTGTGTGCGGATACAAATTTTCGTCGACGATTTCGGGAACACGGATGAAGCGATTTGAATAATTCAAAAAACATTCGATTCGTATTGGTAAGGAGACGTGCTGATTAGTTTTTGGCGAAGGTAGGTTTTGCCGTTCCGAAGATACGGGGCAAAAAGTGCCATAAAACGGTATCTCAGTTTTTAAGAGAACGGAGCGTCCGATTTTAATAATTCAAAAAACATTTTACTTGTATTGACAAGATAAAGAATTGATCAAATTTTTATAAGGGCAGGTTTAGCGCTTTCGGAGATATAACGAAAAAAGTAAAAAAAAATGCCATTTGGCGGTCAAAAATGATCGTTAGACATATGCACATCAAATTATCAGATATTTTATAGAGATTTTAACAATAAGTATAAATCTTGTTTGCATTCCTATGGGTTCCGTACCAATGTTTATTCGTTAGACGGCGACGCGGCGCTTACGCGCTTTGACATTTTGTCTCTATGCAGTTAAAGCAGTACGATTGCTTTGAAAAAAAGTTCAGATCTTCCAAAATACGTCAAAATAAAGAATACATTTTTTTCAAAAAAAAAAATTAAAAAAAAATTTTTTAATTTTTTTTTTTCAAAAAAAAAAATTTTTTTTGTCAAATATCTAGTTTCTCAAAAATCTAATTCTTTTGAAGTAAAATTTTTTCAAAAATGTTAATCGTTTTAAAAAATAATAATAATTTTTGGTACGGGAAGTTCCAGCAATTTGCCTTAAGGCACGATGCCCTAATTGCCTTAAGACAGAATTCCACTTACAGCTAGTTCTACATTTTCTTCTATCTTTTCTTCAGATTCACCCAAGACGACCAATGGTACCGGGCCAAAGTGGAGAAGGTCCAAGGCGGCAACGTCCATGTCCTCTACATCGACTACGGTAACCGAGAGGTGATACCTACAACCCGCTGCGCCACTCTGCCCACTGCCTACGGCTACGACAAGCCATACGCCTCAGAGTACACTCTCGCCTTGGCGGTGCTGCCTACGGATCAGGACTATCAGGAGGAGGCCATCAAGGCATTCACCTCGGACGTCTTGAACAAGGAACTGAATTTGAACGTCGAATACAGAATCAGTAAGATAATAATTGATAATTGATAATTGATAATTGATGATTAAATTATATTAAGACACTTAAGGGGGTATTCTACTGTAGAATTTTGAAAAAATCGGAAATTACTTTTTTTCATATTTTCAAAGTTTAGTTATTCAAAAATATGTCATTAAAAGGATTTTTCAAAATTACTATTATTTCCTGAGTTACAGCCATTTTAGTGACTTAGCCTCGGTTCGGGTCCGACTTGTCTCAAAACTTTGAACGCATTTTTCTCGGAACTACTTTTTTCGAGCTGGCGGTAAGGATATCTCGAGTTCTAATGAACCGATTTACTTCAATTTTGGAGAGGATATTCTCTATACATCGCTTTATCGTGTGGACCTTGGCCAAAATTATAACTTTTCATTTAGTATTTTTAAAAAATTTGGAATTGTTAAAAAAACATGAATTTTTTTTTTCAAACTGCCGCCATTTAAACAAAAATTTTGTTTTAACTTATCCAAGGGTCATACGATAGCAGCATCTATAATAATTAAGAATCCATCTATTTTTTATCTTTCGAATCACCAGAGGGTTGGAATCATGCACGCCAGGACACCCTCTTTTTTTGAGCCCCCACTTTGACTGCTCATAACTTTGTTTTTTTGTGTAATAATAAAATATCAATAAACAAATGATAAATTGATAAAATGATCGATAGTAAAAATATTATGTTTCCTTTATACAGCGCTTCAAAAACCGGGCGAAATTCATGGCTCTACAGTAGAATACCCCCTTAATTCGTGCAAAATATATCAGTAATGGGTATTCTCATCTACATGTTTTATGATATATGACAGTGCTAAGAAGCGTTGTTCCACTTATAAATAAAATAGGCGCGAAGTTGAACTAATAATATTTTGATGTTTGTGCTATTTTGAGGTTACGTTTTGACAGTTGAAAGTACCAAAAATTTAAACTAGTTATAAACGTATATGAATGATTTGTTTTGTTTGCTAATTGTAAGAAAGGTCACTTTCCTACTTTTTATCGTTTACTCGTCGGTAGAGTCTCTTTTACTTTTTATACTTTTCCTATCATAACGCTTACTTACAGTTAAAATATGATAAAATTATAAACGACATATCAAAAGGTAAACAAACAAAAAAAAAACGGAAAAGAGATGAGATAAAAATAAAAAGGCTCTATTGACAAGCTAAAAAGGTGACTCTACTGACGAGCATACTGAAAATTATATTTTTATCATATATATTAAATTGGAAAGGAATGTGATAAGGAACTCTACTGACAAGCAAACTCAAAAGAAACGTAAAAAAGGGACTCTACTGACGAGCCAACTCAAAAGAAAAGTAAAAAAGGGACTCTACTGACTAGCAAACTCAAAAGAAAAGTGAAAAAGGGACTCCCTTTTTTATTTTCTTGGTTATCTTATCAGTACAGTTCCTTTTGAGTTTGGTCGTCAGAGTCGATTTTGTGTTTTTTTCCCCTTGGATTGCTCTTCAGTCGAGTCCTTTTTGTATTTTTTTCTTTAGATTGCTTGTGAGTAGAGTTTTTTTTGTTTTTTATCAAATTTGCTTGTCATTAGAGTCCTTTTTGTGTTTTCAAGAAATTGCGTTATTAAAGCAGAAGGAAGTCTACTGACTAACAAATTAAACTTGAACTTGAAGGAATTATTGGTATGATAATACTGAAAAAGAAACTTTACTGGCAAACGAAATGAATTCGAACTTAGGAGAAAATTAAAATTAAGAAATTATGCGTCATAAAAATATAAATTCTACTGACGAACAAGATTATATTTGAACTTGAAAAAAATTATATTTGAACTTGAAAAAGCAAATTCAGATGTAATGCATCATAAATTCTTTCAACTGCCAAAAACTAACCTCTAAATAGCATAAATGTGAAAATAACGTTAGTTTGACTTTACTCTTTATTAATACAAGATTATCAATTATTTTAAACTTTTTTTTTAGTGTTGCCATATAAGAGAAAACATGTAACTGAGAATAAACTTTTATTAACATTTTAAACAGAATAACAGTAATTTTGTCATAAGTTATGTATTCAAGAACAAATATTAAATTAATAGATATTATATTGGTCCAAATATAGTGCTGTGTCTGTCACTTCAATTGACGACTTGGTTTCCCATTTGGACTAGAAGAAAAGCTGTAATAAAACTGGATATACGTTTTATTTATAACGATGTATCTGGAACCATACCGCAACACATAATAATAATAATAATACTTTACTGACGAGAAATTACTATTACTCTGGTAATAGTCAAATAGTTTCAACTTTAGTTGCTGTAGGGATTAATATTACATTAATCCTTTCCACTCGCGAATTTCCGAGTTTTATATGAATTTATATGAATTTTGTTGGCATCCGAGTGGAAACGGTTAATGAAATGCTGCAATATATTTTATTTTGTGATACTAAGTCTTGTTTTTTTAGGTGGAGCACCCGCCGCATCTCTGGTCGATCCTGCAACCGAGCAAGACATTGCAAAGGGTCTCATTTCTGATGGCCTGATGCTCGTCGAAAAGAGACGGGAGAGAAAATTGGCGAAATTGGTAAGATAATTAATTAATATTTGAATTATAATAATTCATTTACAATTGATATGAGAGTACAATGTGCCTTGCACAAATTGCTGCATGGATAATTGATGTGAAGTTGGCGCGGTGTTCGTTGACAGTTGAAACCACGCGCGCGAAATTTGAATGATGTATTTTAATATAAAGAGTTTTGTCCAACAAATATTATAAATACGGTTTTATTTATATATTTTCACATATCATAGGCAGTATTGATTTATTTAACTTCTTTGATATGTATATAATGACAGTTGTTGTAAAAGAGAGCTAGATTAATGGTGCATCGCACAAAATGCTGCATGTATTATTACAATGAAGTTGGCTGCGAATACTAACGCGTGGTTTTGACAGTTCACACTGTGCGCGCGAAATTTAAATTACGTATTTTAATATAAAAAGATTTTTTTGTACTAATATTAGTTATATGATTTTATTTATATATTTCCACATCTCACAGGCAGTATTGAATTGTTTTACATAAATTGCAATACGTTCATGAATGTGGTACATTAAACTATCCATTTTGATTTGAGACTAGTATTTTTGTATATACTTTGTCTCAGTGTACTAATGGAACAAAATATTTATTTTTTTGCTTCGTTTTTTATTTAACTTGCTCGTTTGTAGAGTCCTTTTTTTCATATTCCTTGATTTTTTTTGTATATTCGTTGCGGAGTCTCTTAACTTATTGTAATTTTAGTTAGTATAAAATATTTTTACAGTTTTTTTTCTCATTACAATTTAATTATAAAATGTCTGGAAACAGTACATTGAAGAAAAAACATCTCTACTAAAGAACAAACGAAATTTTTAATAAACTCTAATAAACATCGAATAAAAGTACATGAAATATAAAATACGATAAAAAACGCGAAGGAGAATGAGAATTAAAAAAGAGCCTCTACTGACGAGCAACTGGACATGAAAAAAGTGACTGTTCTGATAGCAAATTCAGAAAGGACTGTACTGACGAGCGAATTCAGAAAGAAAACTTAAAAGGACTTTACTGACGAGCAAACTGAGCAAAAAAAAATAAAAAAGGGACTGTTCTAACGAGCAAATTCAGAAAGGACTACTGATGAGCAAACTCAGAAAGAAAATTAAAAAGGGGTTCTACTGACGAGCAAACTGAGCAAGAAAATGAAAAGACTTCTGACAAGCAAATTCAGAAAGTACTCTACTCAATGAAATTAAAAAGGACTCTACTAACGAGCAAACTGAAAACTGAACTGAAAAAAGTCTCTACTGACGAGTGAGCTGAAAAATTAAAATAAAAATAAACTACTGATGAGCAAATTCAAAAAGAAGCTAATAACAAAATGCTCGTCAGTAGAGTCTCTTTTCTTCTTTTATTTTAGCGTGCTCGTCAGTAGAGTCCTTTTTTTACTTTTTTAATTGCCAGTGGTCTCTTTTCAAATATTCTCGGTCAGTTTGCTCGTTAGCAGAGTCTCTTTCCTAATATTCCCGGTCAGTTTGCTCGTCAGCAGAGTCTTTATTTTCTCGTCAGTAGAATCCTTTTTCTAATATTCTCTCGGTCAGTTTTCTCAACAGTAAAGTCCCTTTTCTAATTTTCTTTTTCATTTCACTTGTCAGTAGAGACCCTTTTTAAGTCTTTCTTCAGTTTGCTTGTTAGCAGAGTCTTTTTACTAATTTTGTTCCTTGGGTTGCTTGTCAGTAGAGTTTCTTTTCTTCTTTCATTTAAGCTTGCTCATCAGTAGCATCACTTTTTGTTTTTTAATTAAGTTTGCTCGTCAGTATATTCCTTCAGTTATTTTCTTTTTCAGTTTGCTCCTCAGTAGAGCCATTCTTCAATTTTATTTCACGCCAGTAGAGTCTCTGTTTTATTTTCAGTCCATCAGTAGAGTCCCTGTTGATTTTTTATATCAAGTTCAGATTTTTTCTTTTTACGTCAGAATTTCATTTTGCTCGTCAGTAATGTTTCTTTTGTATTTTCTTCTTCAGATTGCTTGTCAGTAGAGAAGAAGGGACTCTACTGACGACCAAAATAAGAAAAATATAATTAAAAGGGACTCTACTGACGAGCAAAATGAAAAAAAAATTAACGAAAAGGGACTCTACTGACGAGCAAAATGAAAAAAAATTAACGAAAAGGGGACTCTACTGACAAGCAAACTAAAAAAAGAAATTAAACAAACATTACCGGCGAGCGATCTTGCTGTTTTGGTTAAAAAAATGTCTTAATGTTTTTTTTTTGTTGGATTTACTTGCCAATAGTTAGTTTTTGCCATTAACTATAATTTTTTTTTCCTTCTCAGGTTGGTGAGTACCTATCAGCCCAGGACCAGGCCAAGAAGCTGCACAATGCCATCTGGCAATACGGTGACATCACCGAAGACGATGCAAAGGAATTTGGTGCAGGCCGTTGAATAAAAAAAAAACAGTGCTTTCCAAGCACAGAGGGATCACTTGAATTGTCCAACCGGACAATTCGATTTGAATTCAACTACTAAACTAAACAAGTTTTGTGTTTTATAATTAGAAAAGAAAAAAAGGGTAAACTGATCATGCTTTCTATTTAAATTGTTTATACATACATATATATATATGAAAATGAAAAAAAAATAGTCCCGAGGTAATATAAATATGACTAGAAACGCGCGAGACACACGCTGTTTATTATAATTGTAAATTATTGACCTAAAAAAAACATTAGTTTTATATATATATATATATATATATATATATACCCCAATACGTTGACGTAATTAATTATTGACGCGACTTGACTATTTATATTATGAAAAAGAAATTCTTATGACCATTTTCATTTTTTCAAAAACAATTCTATAATTAATATATATATATTTAAATTAAAGTAAAAAAAAAGTTATTGTTGAATAATATAAATACATGTTTTACGACGGCGGTAACAATTGTGTGTTGTTTGCTGTGCGTGGTGTATCCATTATTATTATTATTATTATTATTATTTTTAATTTTCATTATGATTATTTTTTGGGGTAAATGCTGCTTCTGTGTAATTATGATGGAAATATGATGACATTCTGAATATTTTTAAATGATTTTTTTAAAATAAAGTTGAATTGGTGGTAAATTTGTGGGTTTTAATGATAGATAGTGAATTTATGGGCCTGTTCTCGGATATAGTTGTGTTATGATACTTTTTTTTTTTGTTTAAAGCAGGTACTTTTGACTTTTGCGACCTCATATAAAAACTAGTGGGGCGCATGTCATCGTGCCTTAAGGCAAATTGCTGCAACTTCCCGTACCAAAAAAAAATTTTTTTTAAGATTAACATTTTTGAAAAAAAAATCACTCTGAAAAAATTAGGTTTTTGAACTATAAATTTTTGACAAAAATTTACTTTTTTTTTAAAAAAAATTGTTTTCTTTATTTTGAAATATTTTGGAAATTCTGAACTTTTTTCAAAGCAATCGTACTGCTTTAACTGCATAGAGACGAAATATCGAAGCGCGTAAGCGCCGCGTCTAACGGATAAACATTGGTACGGAACCCGTAGGAATGTAAACAAAACTTATACTTATTGTTAAAATCTCTATAAAATATCTGATAATTTGATGTGCATATGTCTAATGATCATTTTTGACCGCCAAATAGCTAATTTTTTTACTTTTTCCTCCATACCTCCGAAACCGCTAGACCTGCCTTAATAAAAATTTAATCAGTTCTTCATCTTGTCAATACAAGTAAAATGTTTTTTAAATTATTGAAATCGGACGCTCCGTTCTCTTAAAAAACTGAGTTACCGTTTTTGGCCCTTTTTGCCCCATATCTTCGGAACGGCTAGACCTGACTTTGCCAAAAACTAATCAGCATGATTTCTTATCAATACGAATCAAATGTTTTTTGAATTAGTCAAATCGCTTCATCCGTGTTCCCGAAATCGTCGACGAAAATTTGTATCCGCACATACATACACACACGCACACATACATCCATTTTTCCTAAGGTATGCCAAAATGTTCAGAAGGTTTTGAAACGTAAAAATATATAAAAATTTTCATTTTCGATTTTTTTTTGCGATTACTATAACTTGCCCTACGGAAAGTTAAAAAGGGACTCTACAGACGAGGTAGAATAAAATGAAAGAAAATGGACTCTACTGATGCGCAAATTTAAAAAAAATTGATGAAAAGGACTCTAATGACAAGCAAATTAGAAAAGAGAAGGAACAAGAACATTATTGATGAGCAATCTAGTTGTTTTGCTTTGCTCGTCAGTACAGTCCTTCCCTTTTTCCATTAATTTTTTTGCCAGTCTAGTTCCATTTCTATTGTTATAATTTGCTCGTCAATAGTGTTTTCTTTTGCTTCAAATGGTATTTCATTAATTTACGTATTTTCTCATCAAAAGTGCTCGTTAATTTCCAAATTTGCTTGTCAGTAGAGTTCCATTTCTGAACTAGTACTTTAATCTTTTGTTCTGAATTTACTTGCTCGACCTCCTGAAAAACTAACCGCCAAATAATACAAACATCAAAATAACATTGACAGGTAGGAGCACGCAATTATTTTTTACTGCTTAATTTTATCTCCTTCTTAAACACAAAATATGTAACCAAGAATATCTATTATGTTTAAAGTAACATTTTGAACAAAATGAGTGTAATGTGTATCCGAGAATAGGCCAATTAGTTAATGTAGGTTAGAAATTTGTGAATTTCATGTTTTTCGTATTTCAGCAGTGTAATGTGTTTTTAACTCGAAGTGTATTTGTCATTAAAAAATGATAGTGTGTGGAAGAAGTTTTACAAAAATGGTACTATTATTTTCTCCTCGAACTTTTTTTTAAATAACTAACAATAAGAGTGCATAATTATCTGCTGTTTTCGACGATTGTTTCTTCTGTGTGGTAAATACCAGTGGAATAAATTCAGGCAATAGAAGCACAAACCATGAACCAATCTAGAACACCAACATCTTCTGCCTACCATGTAATGGATTTAGAGACCAACATTAAAACGAAGAGTTAAAAACTGGTATATTTGATATAATTGATTTGAATTTATTACCTACACTCTCATTTAAAACAATTTTTGGAAAATCTTTGAGATGTTTGCGAAGAACAGGGCAAAGGAATCCACCAAGACACATATCAAGGAAAGTGGGACGTCCACATAACTGATAATTGTTGGAGCTTACAATGAAATCAGTCAGGACTTGTCTACGCTCGAAAATAATATAAAAGGACTTTTGAAGGTGTATAAGGTAATGAAATATGTTGTATTTTTTATTGTAATTTGAGGTAAAACCAGCACATTGGTATATCGGTCAAACTAGCATTTCTGTTATTGTTTTCGAAATCAGCGTCCTCGAATTTTCTAAAAATGATATCTCAGAAGAAAATTTTAATGTCGCGCAGTTTTCTTAATTGACTCGTATTTTGTTTCTTTAAGAATTATAAACGTCGTTAATAACGAAAGTTAGCGCCTTTCAATTTTTGATTTTCGAATGGAGAAATATCCAAATATATAATATTTACAAATGTTCGAGTTTTTTTTTTTTGCTTCTGACTGCGTCAATGTTAGATTATTTCTGAATAGCAATCTTATTAGATAAAAAAAGTTTTGAAAAACAAAGTGAGAGAAACGAAAAAAAAAACTGACGAGCAAACTGAGAAGGAAATTGAAAAAGGCGAGCAAATTGAGTAACTAGCTGTAAGTGGAATTCTGCCTTAAGGCAATTAAGGCATTGTGCCTTAAGGCAAATTGCTGGAACTTCCCGTACCAAAAATTATTATTTTTTTTAAAACGATTAACATTTTTGAAAAAGTTTTACTTCGAAAAAATTAGATTTTTGAGAAACTATAAATTTGACAAAATACTTTTTTTTGAAAAGAAAAATGTTTTCTTCATTTTGACATATTTTAGAAGTTCTGAACTTTTTTTCAAAGCAATCGTTCTGCTTGAACTGCATAGAGACGAAATGTCAAAGCTCGCAGGTGCCGCGCCGCCGTCTAACGCATAAGCATTGGTACGGAACCCATAGAAATGTAAAAAAAAATTATACTTATTGTTAAAATCTCTATAAAATATCTGATAATTTGATGTGCATATGTCTAATGATCATTTTTGACCGCCAAATGGCATTATTTTTTACTTTTTTTGTTAGAGCTCCGAAACCGCTGGACCTGCCTCCATGAAAATTTGATCAATTCGTCATCTTGTCAATACAAGTAAAATGTTTTTTGAATTATTCAAATCGGACGCTCCGTTCTCTTAAAACCGGAGGTACCGTTTTTGGCACTTTTTGCCCCGTATTTTCGGAACGGCTAGACCTGCCTTCGCCAAAAACTAATCAGCACGTCTCCTTATCAATACGAATCGAATGTTTTTTGAATTATTCAAATCGGTTGATCCGTGTTCCCGAAATCGTCGACGAAAATTTGTATCCGCACATACATACACACACGTACACACACACACATACATACATCTATTTTTTTCTAAGTTATGCCAAAATGTTCAGAAACCTTTGAAACGTAAAGATATATAAACATTTTCATTTTCGATTTTTTTGCGATTACTATAACTTGCCCTACGGGAAGTTAATAAAATCGAAAAGGACTCTACTGACCAGCAAACTGAAATAAAAGACAAGAGGGACTTTATTGGCAAGCAAACTTACCAACTAAATATCTACTGACGAGCGAACTGACCGAGAAAACTAGAAGGAACTTTACTGACAAGAAAACTGATATATGGAATATTAGAAATGGGACTCTACTGACGAACAAACTGACCGAGAAATTAAAAAGGAACTGGACTCTACTTGTGAGCAAACTGACTGAGAAAATAAAAAAGAAACTATTCACGAGCAAATTAAGAAAGAACATAAAAAGGGACTCTACTGGCAAGGAAACTGACCAAGAGAATATTAGAAAAGAAACTGCTGGCAAACAAAGTAATCCATTGGCAAGCAGACTGAGAAGGTAAAAAGGGACTCTACTGACGAGCGAACTGACTGAATGAGCGGACTTCACTGACGAGCGAACTGAATTAAAATGGAAAGGGAGGCTCTACTAACGTGCACACTAAAATAATAGACAAAAGGGACTCTACTGACGAGCAAACTAACCGGGAAAATCGAAAAAAAAAACTCTTGAAGAGCAATTCGACCGAGTAAAGGGACTCTACTGACAAGCAAACTGGTCGAGAATATAAAAAGAAACTCTCTTGAAAATTTCTGATTTCCGTTCGATTTTAACTCAAATTTTGACAATATTTTTGCAAACTTTGACGAATTTTCAAATTTAAACGACTTTCCCTAGGGCCGTAATATTTTAGTGTAGACCGTGATATCTATCAACCGAAAAATTTTTTACAACAGGTAATTACGAAGAAACGTCCCGGCCTACCTTTCCCGTCCAAAACTAATCAGCACGATTCCCAATCAATATCTTTCGAACGGCTTTTGAATTTTCACAATCGATTCGAATTGCGGGCTAAAACGTGGACGAAATTTTTTTACACTTTTCTGCGATTTACAAAGAAACGGCTTGACCAATCATCGCACAAAATA